TTACACGGCCGTGCAAGTAGGGGGTGCGAGTTTCAGCGGGTATAAAAGTTGTTTTGCGATTTTTGGAGAGGGAGAGCTGGGTTTTGGATCCCAAACACCCAAGGGACGAACCAAAGAGAGAGAGGGCGATCTAGAGCTATTCTTGGGGCTAGAGGATTATTCACCATTGAAGCTCAAGGAACAAGTCTAGACATAAAGATTGAAGATCTGGAAAGTTATAATGCACTCTCTCTCTTCTCTATGGAGTAACTTCCCTTCACTTAGGTTTTGAGGAACCCTAGTTCCATGTGTTAGGATCTTTCTTGTATGAAGTTTTGGATGCTATATTGTGTGATTATAATCGATTGAGGCATGATTTATTGAGTCAATTTAATCCCGATCTAAATTCTCTTGATTTATGCTTTAATCTATGATAGATAGAATCTGATTAGGTTTAGAGAGCTTCCTTGATTGATAGTAGTGAATTGGTTGTGCGAGAGTCAGTCAATTCACTACTTTGTACTGGAATTCATTCCATGTAGTGGAGATCTGTGTGAATCGACTTAGCAGTCTATTCCGGTGAAGGCTAGTCGCCTGCCGGGTATTCTGCCTAAGAGGGCTCGGTCAGCTTAAGAGATTCCAAGCTAGTTTAGGATCTTCCGCAGTTTAATCAACGGTAAAACAACCAAAAGGAATTACAATTTGGACCTAATTGAGGAGCTAGGGGGAATCATACCTAAGTGAGTTCCCAACTTGTAATTAGTATTTTAGTCTTAGTTTAGTTAGTAGAGTAGTTTAGTAAATCAATCATTAATCTGGTTTGCTAGATAATGAACTGAAGTTGAGTAATAGTAACTCTAGAGACCCGTGGATTCGATATTTATTACTTGTGCCACTATAATGCAGTCCCTTTCATTGGTTACACTTGGCCATTGTTAGGAGTTGTGTTGTAGCGTGTCAGCTATTCTAACCTAGCTTAGAGACAAGCCCCCTTATCTTAAGAGGCTCAAATTGAGTTGGGTTTTCTTAGGCATTCCACGCCTCCTAACTATGTTAATGAAGGGAAAACCACTAACTTGAATTAGACACCTAGCTTAATTGTGATTATGCCGTCCAAACCTTGGTTTGAGGGAGAAGATAAGTCAACCCTCAATTGCTTGTGCCAAGAGGGTTACAATTGTAGCCTCCAATGCTTTCCTTTGCCTAGCAGCTGAGAGGATGGTTTCTAACCATTGTTGCACCTCCTACGGGTCACAATTGACTTGTCACACATTGGTTCATTCGATCCCAAAGTTCATGGTAGTTAGTTAGGGGGGAAGCAACTCCCGAGTGAAGCTTCACACCAATAGTTTTCCACCCTTTTACTTTTCAAGTCTTGCTTTTAAATAGTAGATTGTAGAGATTTCAACAAACAACATTCCACTAGATGATGTTTCAAACAATTGAAGTAGGGGTACATGGGCCTACTCGCATTGATATTTAAACATACTTGCCCAATATTGCACCCATCTAAGGTTTATACTTGGGCCTTAAGTGGGATTTTATTATGATATTCGGAGCAAGTCAGGTGGCGTTGGGTATGAACGAACGGGTGAGCAAGAGGTTGATGATGTGCCACTCGGGTCGGATGGTGGTGATAGTCGTCGGGCTTGCAACGAACGCTCCCTGTTTATAGTCAAGGCATGCTATTGGTGGCGACAAAACTGGAAGTGCACAGTGTCGTACAAGTAATAAAGTGTAAGTAAAATTATCGTTCTCTATGAGATTGGTGAAATTCAATAATTAAAAAATTTAGTTAAAGGAACTATAGAAATTGCAAAGACTGTAATCAAGTGATGAGTTGCAGAATTACTGAAATTAACAAACTCGGAAAATGAAATATTTTGGAGAAATTAACTTTGAAGAGTCCTAGGGGAAACACAAGATTTTACTATTTACCTCGGTAATTTTAATTGCCCTTGTCAATCAATTTAATCCTTATTTCTACAGTCGAGATACCTCTAAATTGATAGCTATCTCTATAGAGAATTACCACGTACTAACTAATTAAGACAATTTCTACTATCCTAGTTAACTGAATTAATTAATAAGCCTTAAGAACAATATCCCTAAAATGAATGCATAATTCCCTATTTAATCCACTATCGCTTCGATAGGCAATTATGTCGTGTGAAATGTATTCGGTTACTAGGTTTTCACTATCGTTATTAACTTAGAAAACTACAAATCATCGTGAAGGTGGCCAATCAACACAAAGCGTTAAACAATTTCACACGATAGAAAATGGAGGAAAAACAAGTTGTGATTAAAACATCAAGGCTAGATAATGAAATCCATAAGTTTCCCCCATAAATTGGGGGATTAGTTCATGAGGTAAAGAAAGAACATAAACATGGTAATGTTCAACATCATAACTAATTGCCTTAACAAAGGAGTAGAGAAAGTACTTAGTGTTGAAGTTAATCCCCAACTTACAAGAGTCTTCTTTTCTTCAAAATGCTCCACTCCTAGGTGTGTCAAAGTGAGCTCTCTCCTTTGATTTTTCTGTCCAAAATTTGTCTCCAAAAGTGTCTACTAAGGTACCCTAGTTGCTGGCCCTTGTACCCCTTTTAAGTTCATCTTTTGCAGATTTTTATACCCCAAACCAAGGCAATTGCAGATCCCATTTCCAAGAGAAGGCTACTGCCAGCTTAAGTCTCTCTCATTGCATTTATTTTTCTGCATCTTTTTATCTATCGGTGAGCCACCAAATCCATTTGCTCACTTCAAGAAAATTGATACAATTCCAATGATTTCTTAGGCTGCTGACTATTGAGTGAAGATTCCAACGGTTTGGCGTCCTGCTAGACATTTGCCACTGCACGTATGCACTTTGACACTACACCTGCATTCGTCCACTGCACTTTGTTCTGTTCACAATTTTAGCTTCAATCTGTGTTCAAATGCTAAAATGTCTTAGTAATCACACTAGAGCTATTCCATGGTCAATATGAATTAATTTTGAGCAATTTAAGCACATATATACATAAAGATCAATCATTTATGCACAGAATACGTGTATGTTTATGAAGCTTATCAGCTATGCTGCGGTAGAAGGAATCAGGTAGAAATGGCAGCGGAGTCGGAGAGACCTGTGGTGGAGTCGCTAGCTACATTGGACCGGTACTTGAACGTGGAGTAGAAATCCCAGACCAAATCCGTGTAGGTGGAGTCGTTGATGTTCAGGAGAGTGCGCCACGGAGTATGGCAAATGGTAGCAGCCATCTCCACGAGGCAGTGGAGTGCCTAGAAGACCCCAAACTCGAGGTGGTAGTAGCGATGAAATACCCCGTTGATGACTTTGACGAATTGCGTATCATAGTCGACGGTATGGCGCAAGCCTTGCACGTACAGGTGAGTGAGAGACATGATCCTGCAAAATAATCAAACCAAAGGTGGAACCAGGATAAAATCTCGTTAGGTCCGCAAATAGGGATTAGCCAGAGTTCAAGCATGGATCATGGCAAAATCGGAACAACAGATAATCAGGGACCAGATTATGTCTAGGGGGCCACAACAATATCATCCCTCGCCCTATACTAAGTCAAGCATGCCAATCCATTCACAGTTCTTGATCCTAACATTTATAGTCCGATTTTCTAGGATTAGCAAATAAAAGTCAAAACATACACCAGGAAACACAAGTAGGACCATAGAGGGAGGTGAGAAAAAGACGAGGGATGCAAAATCAAGCCGAAAACTACCTCGGGGGTCTCGCCAGAGGGTCGCCTGCGGCGCGGCGGCGCTGCTGGTGACTGGCGGCAAACAACATCGCCCAAACACGACAATTTTCCTTGGGTAGGGGTGCCCCGCAACGTAGATCGCTAATTCGCGATCGGATTTCAATTTGGAGGTCATATGCCACCGGGATCTAAGAAAAAGAGGTGGAGTTTCGCTTCTTCGATGAGAGAAAAGGAGAGGAAGAGAGAAGGGGATCTTGAAATAAAAATGAGGAGAGAGAAAGCACCGACCGGGTTTTCCTTTAAATAGGAAAAATACTCGGCCGAGCCTCAAAAATACCCGGTCGCGTATTTGAAGCATGCGACCAGGTATTTGGCTTTTCCTCCGCCAAATGACCAGAAGGGGTCTCTGGCGAGAAGCAAAAATACCCGGCCGGGTATTTTGGACTGGCCGACTAGGTATGTGGTAAAAAAGACCAAAACTCAATTTTCTCAACTCCCGAACACTTTGAAGCCAAATTAACCCCGAACGAGGCATACCAGACGACTGAACTTCACCACACATGAACAAGTGGACTCGGCATACCAAAAATCAAAGAGAAAAAGGGAAAAAGAAATGCAAAGCATGGTGGGGTTACCTCCCCACAAGCGCTTTCTTTTACGTCTTTAGCTAGACGCATCCAGCGGAACTAAAAGTCCGCAAGTTCAACCACCAACTCCGCACGTTCGACCTCGTCTCCCAGATATAGCTTGAGACGGTGTCCATTCAATTTAAATGGCTCAGTTTGCGGGTTGGAAATCACGATAGTGCCATACGAAAACACCTGTGTGACTATTAACGGTCCTAACCATCGGGAGAGGGGCCACAGACTCCTGCAAATTTAGAACCATAAAAGGATACAAGACAGGCTCGTCCACATGGTTAAATAAAGTATGCACAGGCAATAATGCAATCATGTTATTAGCAATGGAAAATTTTATCTGCTCATCACCATCTCTCAAAACCAAGATACCAATATGCACATCAATAAGAGCCTTGGCGGTGGCTTGGACAAGCCTACCTAGTATAAGGGGAACTTCTGCGTTCTCATTGATGTCCAAGACAAAAAAATTCACGGGATAAAAGAATATATCAACCTTGACTAGGAGGTCTTCCACTATGCCCCTATGATGGACTATGGATCAGTCAGCTAATTGGATACTCATCCTAGTTGCAGCTGCTTAACATAGGCCTAGTTTCTTGAACAATTTATATGGTCCAACAATGATATATACTAGCACCTATATTTGCCAAGGACCTCTCCACATGCAATTTACCGATAGAGCACGAGATAGTGAAACTACCTGGGACCTTCTGTTTCTACAGAAGCTTGTTCTTCAGAATGGCTGAACACTCCTCGCTAAGCTTCCCAGTGGACAGATCACTCAACTTCTTTTAATTGGAGAGTAGGTCTTTTGGTAACTTTTCATATTGAGGCATTTGAGATATTGCCTCTAGAAAAGGTAATTGGAAATTCAGTTTCCTCAACATGGACAAAAAGTTCCCGAATTCAACCTCCGACGATCTTTGTGCATTCGGGTGGGAAAAGTGAATTGAGGCTTATATTCAGCCACTATTGGCTGGGACTTTGGGGCTAGAACCTCTGGCTCCTTTTTATTCACCTGTTATACTTACGACTCCAGGGTACCTGCTTCACCTCCTTTGCGCGTCGTGGTGGCTCTTTTTCAACCAACTTCCAAATTCTCAATGTAATTGCATTCAGTTCCTCCTGATGATTTTGGGGGTTAGGTACCGTGGTAGCCGATAGGGTACATAGGGCTCTATGTGATGCATATTGAGCCTCTCCTAATCCGGGTACGGATGTTTTGCAAAATAGCTTGTTGGTTCCCCTGGCAAGCTTCCAGGTTCCTCTATCCAGCTTCAAGTTCCATGAACTTCCCTGCTGTCAGTTCCATGAACTGGTCTATCTTGCTAAACTTTTGGTTGTTGGAGCTGGCGAGCGTGCTCACTATATCTCTCAACTAAGCTATCGGATCACCCGTCTGGGACTGATGGGGCTGCACCAGGCTGCTGAATTTGTTGCTGCTGCTATTGAGGAAAAGTCTGTCCCTTTATGGGCTGGTAGGGTGGCTCCTGTTGCTAGAACTGGCCCGGGTGGGGCTGGTACTGCTGTCTCAGGTTCTGATAACTGCCTAAAGGAGCCTGAAAGCCTGCTGGCTTGGGGTTGCTATTACCATCCCAGGAGAATTTCGGATGATGTTGCCACCCCTCATTGTAGGTGTTGTAGTAGGGGTCTATGCGCTTGACATTGCTGATGAAGTCCAGCTTCTCCTGAGTTGTGTTAGATTCCCTCATTGCCTGGCAGTCCTCCACTATATGATTGTTGCTCTAATACAAAACTGTACAAGAAATTTAGCCTATTATGATGAGACAATTTTTTCATATTAGATATCCATTTTGTCATATTAGGTATAATCTAACAAAAGGTGTTGTCACAAAGGTTTGTCATTTTATCACCGTCAGGATAGGTCAAATGTAACAAAAATTTAAACAAAGTTGTCACATTTTCTTTTAGTATAGCTGAGGTTCTAGGTAGTCTATTGTGACAAACAGAGATGTTATGACTTATGACGACATATTTTGTCATATCGGTTGTCATAATCTAGTGATTTTGGGAGAATTGTTTGTCATATTACAAGATTATATTTTGTCATAACTGTATATTGTGACTACTACATTTTGTCAAAAGTGTTTATTGTGACAACATTATTTTTTCATAATTGAATATTATGACGAATATATTTTGTTATAGCTGCATATTGTGAAGATTATAGGCTGTCAGGAAAAGTGGTTTATTTGTCTCATATCTAATATGACAAGAAAACAAATTGTCAGGCAATGTACTTAATGTGACGACATGACATTGTTGTCACATTTGACCTGCTTCAAAAATTTCTAATTCGAATTTATTTCCTGCATTGCAACCTGATAATGGAAAGATTACTAAAGATCCAAAATATTACAACCATTTCTATAGCAGTAATAACTGAAACTTGATAGATAGAGAATCAACACACTATGCTCATCATGTTTCTACAAGGAATGACACACATTTGCTTGCAGTTAGTCATCGAGCAAGGACCAATTCATGGATGCCTAACATTCCAATCTCTTGATATCTTCAAACCTGGTTGCTGCTGTACTGTTAGCCCGTAGAGAACTAGCTGAATTTGCACATAGCTCCCACTTCCAACCCGTTGCCTTTAGATCGCCTTTCAATATGCTCCCAATACTAGGATTCAACATCAAGATTACCATAGAATTCATCCTGGTAAGAATAAAAGGATTATCTTGTACGAAGCTTCGTTATCAAAATTATAGTTCATCAATGGAAGTAGAAGCATAGATCAATGTTAGAACAATTTTTTAAATTGTAAATAAAATAGCTTCTCCTTCTGTCGTTCATGTATAGCATCAGATGGAGTTTCTTGTTTCACCTCATGCTAATTCTTCCTCTAATCATTATCAAGACAACAATTAGCTTTTAAAAAATAAGCACATATAAACAACCATATTTCTACTTCTTTAATATGATGACTCAAAAGAAAAATGAACCAAAAGCCCCTTCTATCTCCTCCACAAACACCCTAGCTAGCTTCCAAGCCACCACTATCAGCCACTTTTCAATTTACAATGAAACCAAGAATTAATGGAATGAGATTGAGTTGATGACCTGAATTTTATGTGGAACGAGGAGGCAGGGTGATCGTAGTTGTGAGGGCTGTGGCAAGACTAGAACTCTGCGCCTAGAGGTCAGGAGGTGGGAAGATCAGTGAAACCATCTCCGTTCGAACCTCTGCATCCCTTCACTCTCTGACCTCCGCATCTTCGATCTCGTCTTGTCTGTTACACCTCTCCAACAAGATTCATTCCTAAATTCGAGAAAACCAATAGACTGAGAAGCAAGCTAAGTACAAGAGGGAAGGGAGTGGGGGAAAAGAATCGAAACCTGCAGTAGGCGGTTAGGGGCTTGGCGGAGGTCTCAATCGGAAATCAAAAGACAAAGCTAATCGGGGGAACTAATGTTAGTGAGTAGGGAAGAAGAATAGGTGAGTTCGGTGTCAAGCAGAGTGTACAAGAGGAAGAACAGAGTCATTCTACAGAGCTACACTCTGCTTAAGGAAGAAGACGAAGTGCAGAGCATTGGGCCTGAAGTTGTATCGGGCTTCCTTTCACCCGATCTAAAAGAGAGTAAGGCCGTATATAAATAAGTGAAGACGACAGCGTTTGGTTCCTCTTCAGCGTCGTCCAAGTAGCCGCTCCATACTTAGACACTTGTCAGTTTGTAATTGGTTAGTTTAGTCTGTTAGTTACTAATAGCCGTTGGAACAGTAAATTAGGAAATGTAATTAACTGACTCTGTATATATTCTGCTCCACTTGGAATGAGAAGGCATTCTGCCAAATTCCTCCAAACCTATCGCTGCTTTCTTTGTGTTTACAAACCCTAGCAGCTCTCAGATTTACTTTCTTCTCATGGTATCAGAGCCTGGTTAAGGCATCTGCATACCTCTTCTTCCTTCTTTGATCTTACCCTTTTTCCTTCTTACACTTCGCATTCCGCCATGGCTGAAGGAGAGGCTTCGGATTCTGCTGAGAAGGAGGTTCCACCTCCTCCTCGTTACGAAGACCCCTATTCCAACCCGTTCTACTTGGCACAAAGCGACAACTCCTTTCTACCAGTCATCGGCTTCAAGTTGACTGATGATAATTACCTTCTTTGGAGTGAGTCCATGGAAGTTGCTCTGCGCACGAAGAACAAGCTGGGTTTTGTTCTCGGAACCATTCAGGTACCTCCTTTGACAGATCCGTCTTATGGAACTTGGGATCGTGTGAATGGTACTGTTGTTTGCTGGATTAGGAACTCTGTGTCTGAAGATATTGTTCCTAGTCTTCGAAATATTGGAATTGCATCAGAAGCTTGGACTTATCTGAAATCTAAGTTCAGCCAAGGAGATTCCATAAGAATAGCTAATTTGCAAGAGAAAATTGACCTGGCTAAACAAGGAAATCAAACTGTTCGACAGTATTTCACCAATTTAAAGTTGGCTTGGGATGAATTGAAAACCTATCAACCTATACCCTATTGTGATTGTGCTGCTGGTACTTATGCTACTGTTATGAGGTATGAAGAAAGGGGAAGAGTGATTCGTTTCTTGTTGGGTCTGAATGAGAAATACCAGCAAGTGAAAACTCAGATGCTTATGCTAGATCCTCTCCCAGATCTGGATAGCATCTATCGTTCTGTTGTTCAGCTTGAAAGGCAACTTGATGGTGCTAGTGCCAATACTGGTAAATCTGAAGAAGCCATAGCACTAGCCACCGCTCTTGCAGCCTCCAGGACTCAATACAATCAACCAAAGGACAAAGGTCAAGCTGACCATCAACCAGGAGGACTGTTTTGCAGATATTGCAAAAAGGAAGGCCATGTCAAGGAGGACTGCTGGAAGCTTAAGAGAAAGAATGGTCTACTTGGAAACAACCCAGGCAGAGGTAACAATGCAGGCCGAGGGTTTGCTGGTTCTGTTGATGTGAATACACCAGAGGGCAATCCTTCAGGAGGAGCTGGTAGCTACTCTCCTACCAGTCCCGTCAGTCAACAGGAACCACGTTCTCCAACCTTTGCTGGATTTACAGTAGATGAACTTACAAGACTCAAAGCTTTGCTTCAACCTGCTTCTAGTTCTCATGGATCCTCTCAGGCCAACGCTGTGATCACTAGATCACAACCTATGTCAGGTATACTATCCCTATCAACTTTGACACATAGAAACAGTGAGTGTGTGTGGGTGTTAGACACAGGAGCAAGTGACCACATCATTTGCTCCATTTCTTTGTTCCTGAGATGTAAGAAGGTGCATGATGTCTCAGTTACCCTTCCAAATAGTCAACAAGCATCTGTCACACACTTAGGGGTAGTTAAACTGCCTTGTGGCATATTCCTCACCAATGTCCTCTTAGTGCCCTCTTTTTCCTATAATCTGATTTCAATTAGTCAGCTTACCAAAAACAGCCCTGTCTCATTGTTGTTTCAATCCACTTTGTGCTCCATTCAGGACCTTATCTCTCGACAGAGGATTGGTTTAATCCCAGTAAGTAGAGGACTTTACCTTCTTGGAGATTCCAGTGGCCCAGGAGAGACTTGCAACCCACAGATTTTTGGAGTGAGCACCAGTTCAGAGAGTTCCAGTTTATGGCACAAACGGCTAGGCCATCTTTCTTTAGATAGATTGAGAAAAATTAAACAAACTTGTACTGAAGTTGAGTTACCAAACAGTTTGGATTGTGAATTTTGCCACTTGTCTAGGCAAAAACGTTTACCATTTCCCAGAAGCACTTCTTATTCCAAAGAACCCTTTGATCTAATACATTGTGATATTTGGGGGCCAGTTAATGTTGTTTCTCATGATGGTTTCCAGTATTTTCTTACTGTTGTTGATGACCATAGTCGCTGCACTTGGTTGTATTTGATGAGTCACAAGTCTGAAGTTAAGAGTTTACTTCAGTCTTTCTTTGCAATGGTTGAGACTCAGTTTAGTAGGAGGATAAAAGTACTGCGTTCAGATCAAGGACAGGAGTTTAAGATGGTTTCCTTTTATCAGCAGAAGGGTTGCATTCATGAAATGAGTTGTATTCATACTGCTCAGCAGAATGGTAGGGTAGAAAGGAAGCACCAGCACATTCTCAATGTGGCTAGGGCTTTGAAATTTCAGTCAGGCTTACCAGTCAGTTTCTGGAGTCATTTTGTGATGCATGCCATCTACCTTATTAACAGAACTCCCACTCCTGTCCTGCACAACAAGTCACCTTTTGAGATTTTGTTTAGTATACCTCCTGATTACAGCAATCTTAGAGTGTTTGGCTGTCTTGCTTTTGCCACAAACACTGAGAGTCACAAACCAAAGTTTGCACCTCGAGCTGTCAAAGCAGTTTTTCTGGGATACACTTTTGGTGTCAAGGGTTTTAAGTTGTATGATCTGGCCACTCATTCAGTGTTTACCAGCAGGGATGTTGAGTTCAATGAATCTGAATTTCCTTTCTTGCCTTCTTCTGACAATACAACTACACCTGCAGCCACTTCTTCCCCAATAGATCATCTTCCTCCCTTCTTTTTTGATGATGATCTCCCTCTTCCTCAGGATCACAATGTCCATGAGACCTCTGATCCTGATTATTTACACTCACCATCACCTTCTCCTGTCCCCTCACCTCCTGCCTCCCCTATACACACACCTCCTCCAGCACCCCCTCTTCCTTCTTCCCCTCCTACTCTCCCCATTGCTCTTCGCAAAGCCCCTAGAGTAACCAGACCTCCCAAACACCTTGATTCTTTCCACACTTCTTTTCTCACTGAAGCTAGTTCATCTTCCTTTGATGACAAACTCTTGTATCCTCTTTCTCACAATCTCTCTTACTCTCATTTGTCTCCCTCCCACAGACATTATACTCTCTCCATCTCTATGTCCACAGATCCTCAAACTTATGCTCAAGCAGCTTTACATCCCTGCTGGAATCAAGCTATGAAGGAGGAGGTTACTGCCTTGGAGGCTAATGAAACTTGGGACATTGTAGACAGACCACCTAATGTTGTTCCTATTGGGTGTAAATGGGTCTATAAGACTAAATTCCTACCTGATGGTGCCATTGAACGTTTTAAAGCCAAGGTTGTTGCAAAGGGGTACACCCAAACTTATGGAATTGATTTTGTTGATACATTCTCTCCGGTTGCCAAAATCAATTATGTCAAGCTTCTTTTAGCTATTGCAGCAGCCAAGAATTGGCATCTCCATCAGATGGATGTGAGCAATGCCTTCTTGAATGGTGACTTAGAGGAGGAGATTTATATGGAGCTTCCCCCTGGTTTGAGAGAGCTAAGTCACCTTCAAGGTAAGGTTTGTAGATTGAAGAAATCACTTTATGGGCTTAAGCAAGCCAGTCGTCAATGGTACCTTAAGCTTACTGAGTTCTTGACTAAACTTGGTTTCCAGCAATCATATGAAGACTATTCAGTCTTTAAGACCTCTACAGTTGTGTTAGTCATCTATGTTGATGACATCATTGTGGCAGGACCAAATTTGGAGGACATTCAGTCTGTTAAGACACAATTGCAGAAGGGTTTCAAGGTTAAGGACCTGGGGAATTTAAAGTATTTCTTAGGTTTGGAAATTGCTAGAACTCAGGCTGGGATTTCTTTATGTCAACGAAAGTTTTGCTTAGAAATGCTTGAGAATGCAGACTTCTTGGAGTGTAAGCCAGCTAAAACTCCAATCAGCATGAAGGCTACATTATCTGCAGAAGATGGAACATTGCTTGATGATGGTTCAAATTACAGACATCTCTTGGGGCAATTGCAGTATTTAACATCCACTAGACCTGACATTTGCTTTCCAGTACAGCAGCTGAGTCAGTTTCAAGATCGACCAACTACTGTGCACCTCAAAGCCTTACATAGAATCTTGAGATACTTGAAGGGTTGTCCAGCACAGGGTCTATGGTTTTCTTCTTCATCCAGTTTACAACTAAGTGGCTACTGTGATTCGGATTGGGCAACTTGTCCAGATTCGAGGAAGTCAATTACTGGGTATTGCACTTTCCTGGGGAGTTCTCTGATCACGTGGAAAAGCAAGAAACAGAGCACGGTTTCACGCTCATCCTCTAAAGCAGAGTACAGAGCAATGGCGCAGCTAGCTTGTCAGGTACAGTGGTTAAAAGCTTTTCTGAATTTCTTTGGAATTCCACATTCAACCCCAGTGAAAGTGTATTGTGATAACCAGTCAGCCATTCATATTGCGGAAAATCCCGTTTATCATGAGCGAACCAAGCACATAAAGGTTGATTGTCATGTTGTCAGGGAAAGGTTGAAATCAGGACTCCTAAATCTATTCCATTTGAATACCGAAAATCAGTTGGCTGACCTATTTACTAACACTATGTTTGGCAACAAGGGGGGTGCAAGTTCGAGGGGGGTACAAGTTGAGGGGTAAATTGTTGGGGGGTGCAACTTGGTGGAGGGTGTAAGTGGAGGGGTAAATTGTTGTTTGGATGAAAAAGTAGGGGGGTGCAAATAGAGTAAAAAGTAAGTAATTATATTATTATAAAATAGATTTATCAATTTATAAAATATTATCACAAACATGAAAATTCAATATATAATAATAAAAATAATTTTAATAAAAATAATTATTATATAATAATGCTCAAATATAATTATTTATAACAACAATAATAATCATTGGTCGAGCAACCTCGAAACTTGAAATCCAACTCGTAACTGGTCATCCTAAAGGGGTTCTCGTGCCTAACTTTAAATTGAATATGGTCAAACTTAGTCAAACACGTTCGAATCTGTAAGTTTTAACTACTTATTAAAGTAAATCGAGTTAACTAAACTGTTCCTCTCTATCTTTTCAACAAATGCTTCTTATCTCTAATTTTCAATGCAAATTCGGGTCAACTAAGAGATATCGATTTGACGAGGCGAACATTGACAAACTTGCTCTCTGAGTCAAACGGTCAACCCCAAACAACTTCTACACTAATATAGATATAAGAAAAATTAATAATATTAATTATTATGTAATTATAGTCTAATTAAAAATTCATAATTCCCCTCCTCCCCCTTCCCCCTCCCTTCCTTCCTTCCCTTGCACCCCAATTTGGGGGGTAAGCCGAAACAGTGAATTTACGCTCACGTTTTGCACCCCCCTACTGTTACAAAATAACCAAACGGGGGTAAACACCTTGGAACTTGTGTTTACCCCTCCAAACTTGCACCCCCTTCCATTTACACCCCTTCCCAAACATAGTGTAAGGGGCTGTCTGGTGATCGGTTTAAGTTTCTGCTCTCCAAGCTGGGTGTACATGATTTGTACTCGCCAGCTTGAGGGGGTGTGTCAAGCAGAGTGTACAAGAGGAAGAACAGAGTCATTCTACAGAGCTACACTCTGCTTAAGGAAGAAGACGAAGTGCACAGCATTGGGCCTGAAGTTGTATCGGGCTTCCTTTCACCCGATCCAAAAGAGAGTAAGGCCATATATAAATAAGTGAAGACGACAGCGTTTGGTTCCTCTTCAGCGTCGTCCAAGTAGCCGCTCCATACTTAGACACTTGTCAGTTTGTAATTGGTTAGTTTAGTCTGTTAGTTACTAATAGCTGTTGGAACAGTAAATTAGGAAATGTAATTAACTGACTCTGTATATATTCTGCTCCACTTGGAATGAGAAGGCATTCTGCCAAATTCCTCCAAACCTATCGCTGCTTTCTTTGTGTTTACAAACCCTAGCAGCTCTCAGATTTACTTTCTTCTCATTCGGCTGAGAGTTTGGGAATACTAGGGTTCCAGTCCCGTTCTCGCTTCTCACTTTGGAACTCGAAGGGTTCCCTCTGACCGAGCGCAGCTTCTGCAGAGGAAAGCCAGGGAAAGCCATGGCTCCTACATCGTCATTGTCCGGCGGCGGGACGGGGACAGTTGGGATGGAAGGAGGTTATCGTCAACGGGGAATGGGGGAAATAGTGTCGGTAAGCTTTCTAGGATCGGAATTTGTCGGTCGCTGATTAGTAGTTCTAATTCCATCAGATTGTGATAGAAGGAAATCTGCTCAATATAATAGTAAATGAAAAAAATCAATATCAAAATAGAAAAGGAATTTTCATGTATTTGGATTAGGATTTTTTGTTGAAGAAAGAAATGAAATGAGGGATGGAGTTTAAAACTGCGGTCAAAACTCAAAAGGGGAGACGAGGCCTTCTTGCATAAATGGGCCTTCAGTATGTCTTTAAGTTAGATGGGCCTTTCACCTTGCTCGATGATGAGTTGTGAGTGGGGACGGCGGCGAAGTAGAAGCGCCAGATCTGCCCGAAGCGGCAATGTCAACTAGCGTGGGTCAGCTATCAATGAGCTCCGACGACGGTTTACTTGTTTTGGCGAAGAGGAAGAAAAAGTGGGGAAATGTCGATTGGGGGACGGAAGAAAGAAGCTTGAAGGCGACGGGCTTCTCCTTCTCAGAATAAAAAGAAGAGAAGAGGAGGAAAAGGAGTGGGGTCCTTGGGTAATCGAAATTTTGGTTGAGACAGATGGAATTTTAGGTTTTGGAGGGGCTGAAAATAGGCATTTAAAAATTGGGAGGGATTGAAAAGTGGACAGCTAAAAATTGGGCGGGATTGAAATTTAGGTTTTTGGTGGTGAATTTTTTTTTATGCTGAACACAATAAAATCTGACGAAAATGCCTTTTGTCAAAAACAAAACCACTATATTATGACAAACATGCTTTTTTATCAAAACTGAAAGCACTATATTATGACGAACATGCCCTTTTGTCAGCTCGTCGTGGGATTATTGCTATCTATTATGACAAAATACATTGTCATTTAAACAATTCAAGAAAGCATAATATGACAAAAGATACTATGATGATATAATTTATCACTTTTGTGTCTCTTACATCCCGATATAGGATGGCTATTGTGACACGAAATATTTGTCACATTACTTACTTTCAATGACAATTATTCTGACAACGATTTTTTTATCACATTAGGCATACCAAATAGGACATATATTATTTTTTCAAATCACCGTACTTATTGTGACAAACAAAAAATGACAAAATAAATTTTTTGTCCTAATAGGACGAATTTTTTGTAGTGAATATATCGCCTCGGGCTGACCTGCCTATAACCAGACCATTATAGTTACGATCGATCGTTGTAACCAGCTTAGAAACTGCAGCCTCCAAGGTAGATGACCAAGCTTCCACATCATGAACACCTCGCCCATGAACTCGTCAAGTCCTTTTTGTAGCTCCTTAGTCATACCCCTGCTTTGCCATGTTCTCGAAGAAATAATTCAACTCCGGAGGAGTCTTGGTCAACATGTTCCTATTATAGACCGAATCAATCAGTTGTCAGTCTTGGGGCAGAGAGCCCAGTAGAAGGTTCCCACCTTAAAGACATCAGTGAACTCGTGATTAGGGCACCTCAGGAAGAGACCTAAGTATCTCTCCCAGGCATCTTGGAGAGTCTCATCGTCCTCTTGCGAGAAATGATTGATCTCCTTCTGCAGATCCGTAGTCTTGGATGGGGGATGATAGCGGTTCAGAAACTTGTGACCTTGTCTTTATCTTCAAAGGAAATTGGAAATAGCAGAGTCGAAGATTGCTTTTGGAGGCACACCGTTGATTTTAATTCCATCGATCAACTCATGAAATCGATTGAGGTGCATTCGCAGACATTTATTGAGCAATCCATGGAGTACCATCGAGCCCTTCATTGAAAAAGTTATTAGGAGCAACTTGAGGGAGCTGGATGCTAGACCTCAGATCCTCGGCCCTAGTGGTCAGGTAGTACCCCCATAGTCCGATCATGTGGTCTTCGCTTAGCCCCATTTGGATCCCAGCTGATTAGCAGGAGCCTCCATCTCTTCTTCATCGCTCTCTGATCCTTCTACAACGATAACCTGGTCCAAAATCTCCTCCGCAGCAAGTCTCCCCTGAAGCGCTTTCTTGAACCAGCATAGAGTCCGTTCGAGTTATGAGTCATGCATTACTTGCACACACGCTAAAAACGCAACTTGTGAAGGAAAACATGTGGAAGAAGGATAATACATAAAGGTACATGCTAGAGTAATAGATTTTCAAGTTCCCACAATAACCAAGTCTTCCTTAGAAACTTCGCCAAAAACTTGATTCGCTAAAACCCACACAACTAAACTACGACCAATTGTAATCTCACTCTAGCAATGTAGTATAGTTAGGGGTGGGATTTCGGTTTCGGGTTTTCGGGTTAAACCTAACCCGAACCGGTAATACTGTTTTCGGTTTTCGGGTTTTCGGTTTCAACCCGAAATGAGATACAAAACGGTTTCGGTTTATGTAACCCGAAAACCGATACAAACCCGAATGGCGGATCTGCTCAATGACTTGCTCTAATGGTGGATCTCCTTTCCGCCCTCCGACATGTCCGGCATGGAGCTGGAGCAGATCTAGGAAGCGTTCATGAAGCGGACAATGGGCTCCGTTTTCGGGTTCGTCAAGCTTCGACCGAGCGTCAAACGTACCCCGGTAAGCCAAACTTCTCATCTCTTTTAGGTTCCAATTCGCCGGACTTGTTAACTCCGGTGGTGTTGGGGGTTATTTTGTTCAGGATACGGTGGCGGATCTCGCTCGGAAATGGACCAAAATGCTGAGAGCTGGAGCGATGGAATTGAATCTCATGGGGATTGATCGGAGCACCATAATGTTCAACATGGCCGAAGGCCGCCACTCCCTTGAAGTGAGCTTTCCTCTCCTTCTTTTTGCCTTCCCCTTCTCTGTTTCCTCTGTTTCTTAATAAGATTTTGGGATTCATTCTCTTTCTATTTGTTTTCCGTGGGAACTTGCTGCAGCTGAAGGAGTTTGTATTGAATCAGCCGGAGGCATACGAGATCAAGATCGGATTCGAATCGAGGTTTACTGCTCCAATTGGGTTCGAGGAAAGATATAATATAAATACGGGAAACAGAGCAGTTCATGTCAAAGATAGAGTTCTTCAGGGTAGTTTGTTTGCAGGGGACCTCTGAGAATGAAACGTATTCATTTGTTTATTACTTATGATTCAATACAAACTCCTTCAGGAGGAAAGGAGATCCACCATTAGAAAGTCATTGAGCAGATCCACCGTCATTAGAGCAAGAATGTACAAATTATAATAGTTTTATATTGTCCACCTCCCATAATTTTTTTTTGGTAAAACCCATAAAATTAAACATAATGGTTAAATAAGAATGTACAAATAATAAGAATAAAATTGTTTGTACAAGCAAAAGAATATAAAATTCAAATTACAAAAGTATTTATAAAAAAAAATCAAACCGGTTCGGTTTCGGGTTCACCCGAACCGAACAAACCCGTCAGTGTATTTTTCGGGTTCCTGTACCCGAAACCCGCAAAACATAGGTCCGGTTTCGAGTTGTGGGAGTCGGTTTCGGGTTTTCGGTTTTTGGCGGTTTTCGGGTTCGGTTACCCGAACCGTACCGACAGGCCTAAGTATAGTGGTTCAGGTTATAAATGTCAACTCGGATCCTAGGTCTACAGGTTACTTCGTGCAATTCTATTATCTAGCGACGAAATTTGAGTTAAGTTGATTGCAAGCCAAGGAAAACATAAATCAAGTAAACGTTCTCAGTTCAAGTATGAGAAAGGTCACCCAGGTATGTGTCCCCCTAGTATGGAGTGAGTTCAGGTGGTAATCCCCCAAGTTCATTTGGATTGACAAATAAACCGCGAAAAGTTCTTGACAAGTCTAGAATCTCGACCCAAACCCTTTCTGTTCGAATACCCGGCGGGTGACTAACCTCCATTGGAGTAAGTTAACCGAGTCATTATCACACAAAACTTCCTCTACTGGTTTTCAATTCTAGTACAGATAAGTGAATTGACTTCTCGACTAAAGTAGTCGATTCACTACCTCCAGTTAAGGCTGCTATTAACATATATAGAGACTATTGTTCTAGGTTAAAGCAAGAATCACAAGAATTTGACCAGGACTGCTGCAATTCGTAATAATACCTCAATTAAATATATGAAAGTCAATCATCCACGAAAATGGGTTCATACAATGATTCCTAACATACACGACTAGGGTTCTTCATACCCATATGAGAAGCGAGTTTACTCCATGGAGAGTAGATAAAACACAAAGCTAGAAGTGGAAAATATCATGTGAAGAATGAAATTCTTCTCCAAGCTAGGAATCGGCACTCTGAGGGTGAAGGATCGAACTCCAATGACCTTAGACGATTCAAATCGCTCTCCAAGGTTGTTCTTCGTGTTCCATGGACGTGGGAATGAGTTCCAGGATGTGGAACTTCAAAACGGTGTGTGGTAGTTAATTGACCTCGGATGAATTCCATGGTCAATAATCTTCACCATACCGGGGATTAGTCCTGCCCAAAAAGCAAGGTATGAACCGTGAATCCACGGTCGTGGAATTGACTACCCAGACCGTGAATTCCGACTTTGCATCCTCCAAATCCCGTATGCTCTCCAATTACACTAAAACCTGCTCCTAAGCCTTCATTCTCGTACTGGCACCTGAAATATCACAAACAAGCACTACCTAGCGTAAAATGGGCCACAAAGCAATCAAATTCCAAGCCACACGATCAAGAAATGTCGGCTGAAACATGTGAAACTATGACGTTATCAATTAGTCATAAGTTTATCAATTTTAAGATAGGCTGGTACTGAATTTTGTAGGAATATTCTCCAAATCACGCTTCTTTCCCGTTTGAGGGAGGAGAGGCCGAATTTGGTTCTATTGGAATTGGTTCTGAGGATTGAATCTAAGAGGAGGCCTAGGCTTGGTTTGACCATTCCAAGATAATTTGGGGTCATTCCTCCAACTAGGGTTATAGTTATTACTATAATGATTACCACTGCGTTGGGGATTCCTCACATAATCTAACTTCTCTAGAGTGGCTACTACTGCAAGGTAACAACCTCTAGCTTAATGGTTGATTCTAGTACACAGCTTATAAGAAGCTACGAAAGTCTATTTTCTTTTAGCTTAGAGGTTGAAATTTTGATTCAAGGCAGATGTGTTGCAAGCTAGGGCCTCCACTTGCATAACTAAGGATTGAATAGGATCAATATGATGAATACTAGCTGGCTTTTGCGACTTGGACCAAGTGTTTTGCCATCCATAATTTGTCTAGGCCATGTTATTCATATATTCTTAAACCCTAGGAGGTGTTTTACCATGAATCTGACAGCCTTCACCATAATCCAGAGCTTGCTTAGACTCATGGAAGATACCATTATAGAAGACATTGATTTGGAGCCAAGTGTCTATCCCATGATGAGGGCATTTTCTTTACAACAGTTTGAAGTTATCCCATGCTTCAAAAAGTGTCTCTCCACCTAGCTACTTAACAACAACGATTTCTCCACAAAAGCATGCAATCTTAGAGAAAGGAAATAAGTGAGCCAAAAACTGGCCACCCAAGTTTGACCATGTGGTAACAGAGGTTGGTGAAGCAATGAAATTCAGCACAAGCAAGTCGCATACACTAAGGCAAGTTCAAGAGAGAAAGCATTATTTGAACTTCGAATCCCCCCAGCTAATTCATACTTCTTAATTGAATATATATAGACTAGATGTTATCTTATCTTACCATAGGAATTCCATAATTAGTATTAACCCGATCTTCTTGTGTATTAACACCCTATTAGTCTATTCAGTCTAGATTTGATATTCTCTTTGACCTAAATTCAATCTCCTAACAATTAATGATCTTTGAACCCCCTATTAGGTTTTACCATGGATAATTGATTGTAAGATCAGACCAAATTTCCTTTTCTTGAAGGCTGGGATCTTATTCCCTAGGGTCTCTCACAACCACTTACTCAGGTAGTGAGGGACACTATCTATGTTGAAAAATGTGAATAGGAGGTTGAGGTGCCTTTGGTTTTTCAAAACAGAAAGTAAAAGAAAGTGCAATGTAAGATAAGTAAACCTAAGCTAAGTTTGGCGAGTGAGGAAGATAGTAGAGGGGGGCATTGCATAGGCACAAATTGCCCTAGAGTTCCTTTGACTCTACTAAGACTCTGATTACACATTGTAGTGTTTGAGAGAATCCATATGGATTCTCCTCTTACTATACTCATATATGGTTGCTACCCCTCATGATGATGATTGTAGGTTCTAAGCTAGACGAGGCATGTGGGAGATATGACAACGATTGCATATGTCATGTTATGCAACAAGGTCTTTCCTAGACGTGTATTGAATTCAAGACATAGATGTCTCGATACAATAAGTATAGCAAGGAGGACTCCAAGAAACACGCCCACATACAACCAAGAATTAACGATTGATTCCAGCTACATATGACATGCTTGACTCTTGTCGGTTGGTCTCTACCATATTCGTAGGCAATGATATACACCATTCAGCTTCCTCCCTTAAGGAAGTCGTGCAGTTCAATCGATTGAAAATGACTATCGTGTCTAGTCTCATACATCCACAAAGTCAGATAGGAGGAAATATCCTTTAAAGATAGTCCTCTTCTAATGTACGCAATCAAGCAACATGGAAGGATTAGTCGATGGAGAATGGATAAACGAACAAAGGAGAGGAAAAAACTGATTTCATGGCGAAAGGCATGATTGGTTGCTCCAAGATGACTCCTCTAAGGTAGAACTTATGGAAAAGCTCTTCCTATGCTCTCTCTGATTCAGGCCTAATTGCACATGTTTTGCCCCCGTTTTACTTAGATGTGTGTGCCAAATTCACTCCTAAAAGGTTGGTTTTACGCTAGGTTCTTCGTGTTTGAGTGTGTTTCAGGATTTAACAGGTGAAACCAACCTCGGTGTCAAAAGATTGACGAAAAGGATTGAAAACTGGGAGAAGAGGTGAAAAGAGCCAGTTCACGGCTAATTGAGGGAGTTCACGGTCATGCAAGACCGTGAAGAAGAGGAGTTGAACGTGAATCGCGAGGTGTCTAGAGCCAATGTGAAGGGTACTGATGCAAGGTGAGTTCATGGTCACTAAGACCGTGAACAAAGGCAGTTGACCGTGAACATATGTGAGGATGCGACGCATTTTGGCGCACGCCTGGAGTTCACGGACATGTTTCATGGTTCACGGCCGTGAACGCAGCTCATCTCAGGTATAAAAGATGAGCTGAAAGGAGGAGAGAGGGGAGAGCCCACTTTTGTGTGAAACACCTTCCTCAGCATTCTAGTGAGAGAAACATAACCAAAAGGAAGAAGAAGGTTAGGGTTTGGCTTCAAGGCAAATTTTGGGAAGATTTCCCCCAAGGAAAGCTCAACTCAAGGGTCAAGAAGACTGGAAGCATCCTCAAAGATGGTTTTGCACCTTTTTCCCTTTTGTTTTTCCCACTTCTAGCATGGAGTAGACCTCCTTTCACTTGGGTGTAGTGAAACCCTAACTCTACCATGTAGTTTTCTTGTATTTGTTTTGAATGATTGTCATTGGGTATTGTTCAATTCAATGATTGAGGCATTATTTATCATGATTGTGCATGCTTGTGCTTAGCAACCTAGGGGTTGTGCATGCTTTGTGCTTAGCAGCCTTAGGTTTGTGCATTTAGGTGCTTAGCAACCTAAGTATTGTGCATAATTGTGCTTAGCACTCCTAGGTACTTTCCCACAAAAGAGTTTTCAAACCCAATCACCTTTGCTTTCTTTTACTTCAATTAGAAAACCTTTATACCAAAGTTTTGTTGCTAGATAATGATTTCAACAACTGAAGTAAGGGTAGACGGACAGGCCCGGGTCGATATCTAAATACTTGCCACATACTGCACCCGATTAGAGTTTAAAAACTTGGGCTCTAATTGGGGTTTTATAGTGGTGTAGTTTCGTGCAAGTGAAGTTTTGGAGCCATTGCCGGGGACACAGTCTGTTATTCTGATAAAGTTGTTGGTTGTTAATCTAGCTTTTAATTTCTAGTTTTGCATGTTTGTGTTCTTTGCTTGTGCTAGACTTGGTGTTTTCCAATTTCTAGGAGAAGGAGTGAAAGAGGGGGACAACAATTGAGTCTCGATGTTAGTAGAGAAGGAGTTGAAGAAGTCAAAGTTGAACCTGTCGTTGAAGAGGAAATAGCGGGGAACCAAAGACAATATGGAGGCGCTCAAGCCCGCCATATGAATGAGGCGACAGGAGAAGAAGGAGCCCCGAGAACGATGGGGTACTATATTGCCCCAAGGTCGGTGGACATTCAATTGCCGATCCTACATCCTCCGGTGGCGGCAAACAATTTCCAGATCAAGTCGACTCTAGTGACTATGATACAAAGTAATGCTCTATTCCACTGCCATGAAAGCGAGTCACTTAGAGAGCACGTGCAGAGATTCTTGGAGCTCGCGGGGAGCTTGAAAATTGAAGGTGTGCCGACCGAAGCTTTGCAACTAAGGCTTTTCCCATACTCACTCTTGGGGAAGGCACTTAGGTGGCTAAACAATCGCCCACCTCGGTCTATCACCTCATGGGATAACCTTCTCAACAAGTTTATGGCTCATTATTGCCCGTCTTTAAAGACGGTGGAGTGGAGAAAGAAGATTACACATTTCAAGCAAAAAGAGGATGAGACCTTGAGGGATGCTTGGGAGAGGTACTATGATTACTTTCTTCGGTGCCTTCACCATGGGTTTGAAGAACAGTTTCGGATTGAAACCTTCTACGGAGGCCTAATGCAAGAAGGTAAGATCCTCATCGAATCCTTGTTGAGGGGAAGTTGATGAATATGGCTCCACCCCAAATAGCCGAGATACTTGAAGATATGGCCCTTAGGGGGTATGATTGGGGGTTGACTAGAAGTAGAAGAAGGAGCCATGATAGGGGGTGAGAAGCATGGGAGTGAGTGCTCCGCTTGAGGTGAAGCTCGATAAGTTGCTTGAGGTTATGGTTGAAGATAAAAGGCAAGGAAAACGGGCGGTAATGTCGTGCGACTGGTGTCTAGTACTAGCCACAAAATGGCGGAGTGCCAAGCAATGAAGGAGGCAACCACTCCGGAGGAACAAGTCAACTTCGTGGCAAATGCTAGGGTCAACAACCCATATACCAATACTTATAACCCCGGATGGAGGAACCACCCCAACTTTGCTTGGTCATTACTGGCTAATCCGAGGCCCCCAGGTTTCCAAGGCCCCACGGGAAACTTCCAACCTCGGCCCACCTTCATCCAACAAAGACTGCAACTCCAAGGCTCAAACTTCTAACAACCGTACCAATCACAAGGTGCCCTAGGGTTTCAGCAACAACATCAACTCGACAAGTTATCCAAGCTTGAAGACCTAGTGAACACCTTTGTGAGTACGAGTAGCTAAAAGTTCGAGAAGATAGAGCAATTTATGGATGTGGCGACTACTAAGTTTACCTCGGTTAAGGTGGGTATTCGAAGCCATCAAGCAAGCCTTCAAAGCTTGGAAGTGAAAATCGGCAACCTTACCGGTAACCTCACCGAGAGACCCAAGGGAGCTTTACCTTCCCAAACCGTGGTGAACCCCAAGGACCAAGCCGGTGTAAATGCGCTTCAAGCGAGAAGTGTGAAGGTGGTTCCGGAAGTAGCCACTAGTGAAGTGATGGAGAAGGAAAATACCGATGAGGAAGTGACCAACCCAAAGAAGGGAGAAGGAAAGCCCTTGAGGAATGAGAGGAAGGCAACAAGAATGACTTTGCCGGTGGATGGATACAAACCACCTCTTCCTTATCCCACAAGGATGTACAAAGAGAGGTTGGAGAACGAGTGTGGAGTGTACGTGGAAATGATCCACAACCTCCACCTCAACATCCCGTTCCTCAAAGCTATGGCTCAAATGCCAAGATATGCCAAGTACCTCAAAGGATCCCTCATCAAAAAGCCCAAGCTTGAGGGCCTCGTCAACGTGACTCTTGATGAGGAATACTCGGCTTTCCTCCTCGACCGCTTGCCCAAAAAGAGGTCTGACCCAGGTAGCTTTACTATCCCTCTTGATATTGGTAATCACCATATTGACAATGCCTTGGAGGACCTAGGAGCTAGTGTGAATGTGGCTTTTCAAAAAATTAGAAGTAGGTGAACTTAAGACCTCTAAGCTTAGCATCACCTTAGCCAACCGTTCAATCATTAGCTCGAGAGGAATAGTGGAGGACATGATGGTGAGATTGAGCAAGTTTTGCTATCCGACCGATTTCGTGATTCTCGGCATAAGTGAGGACTCATATATGCCCTTCATCCTCGGTCGTCCCTTTTTTGCAACCGCCAAGGCATTGATAGATGTTAATGAGGGGACCCTAATTTTGAGGGATGGAAAGGAGAGAATCAAGCTTGAAATTGATCCTAGGGTTAGGAGTTATGAAGTGAAGGGGTAGTTTCAAATGATGTGAATGAGAGTGGAGGAGAGCCTCTCAGGGCAAACCCCACCTTTACTTGTGTTGGATTTGATGATGTTGAGCAGGAAGGTAAGAAAGGTCCTAAGCCCAAAGGACCGAGATTGAATGCTTGGAGAAGAAGGATGAAGGGAGCTTTGGCACGGAAGATGGGGGAGGCCGAAGCAATGTTGGCCAACCAAGAGGGCCAACTCAAGGAACCTAAGATGGGAGGGTATAAGCCTCGCACCGAGAATGTGGTGGATCGTCTCTCATTGGCACATGTTTGAAGTCGTGATTGATTCCTAACCGTCAAGCTAATGACGATAAACAAGCGCTTGTTAGGAGGCAACCCAACAAAGGTTTGTTTTCTTTTCCTTAGTTTTCGTTTTAGTGTCTTGTGAAGGGTTCGAGTGGTGAAGTACTGGTGTCCCCGTGTCGAGTGTTGTGATTTTTCGGTTTATGGTTGTGTTGTGATCGATTAGGAGGAACGGAGGAATAGGTTGAGTCAAAATTTTTGCAGAAGTGCCCTGTTTTCACTTGAGTTCACGGACGGATTGTTAAGTTCACGATCTTATAAGACCGTGAACAGGCAAACTCGTCTGTGAATTGGGTGTTGATGCATGTTCACCACCTGTCAACCACTCTGTGTTCACTGACGCATTTGAGAGTTCACGGTCGCTAAGATCGTGAACTGGGCAACGCGTCCGTGAACTCAGAGTCGTGCATATAAAAAAGGCGTGAAGAACGACTCTTCACTTCACGACCAAATTCTCACCAAAAAATTCAAATCTTCGCCGGAGAATGCGAAAACCCGTCGCTTTTTTGATCTATCCCCCATTTCCGGCGAGCAAAACCCAAAACCAACGTCATACCCAACCTCCTCTCCTCAAAACCGGCCTGTGCTGAGATTTTGGGGAGATTTGGAGCCTATTTTTTCCGGCCAAGTTACCAGCGGCGAGCCTCCGACGAGCTTCCGACGAAGCTCCGGTGACCCCTCTCCGGTCAGTTTTCCGACCGTTTTTCACCGTCCTCGCCCGCACCTCACTTCCTCCCACGTCCCACTTGTGTCTCTAGGTTTGTTTTCGACTCTACCTTTGTGAATTGTGGAGAATCGGATTAGGTAGTGAAGTGAGGTTGAATTTTTGTACTTTGCATGATTGAACCTAGAGTCAGGGCGATGACTTACGTGAATTAGGTCATGTGATTGATGATTATTGCATGAGCTTAGTGAGCCTTGGTGGCCGTGTTTGAATAAAATTGTGCTTATTTTTAGAATTTGCCCACCAAGTGCTATGTTATGAATGCAAGTGGAGTTTCTTTTTGTTTGGTGGATGGTAGCCACCGTGGTAGGGGTTGTGGTTCAATTTTTTGTATGCTTGAACCGTGAAATACCCAAAACCATACCACGGCGGTTTGAGCTTCAATGTTTTAGATATGGTGGGAAAACAAGTGTGTGTGTGGGGGGGGGGGGGGGGGGGGGGATCTCTTTTCCTCCCAATGAGCGGTATATGGCGATTGTTTCCACGTATAGTGTGTGTTTGTGCTTGTGTAGGATGCTTAACTTGGAGCATGAGTTCATCAGTTATCTGGTGAACCACCCAGAGTTTGGCGACAAGTTTGCCTACCATAGTGGAAGCCCGATTGGGGCTCACTGGCGGCTGGACCTGGACATATTTAACTTGTTCAGGTGCCGAGCCGCCATGACTGGGGTACTCTCTCATTCCCAGTGGCACTAGCTCTTGACCATGGACGAGGAATTCTTCCATGAGCTATGCGTGGAGTTCTACTCCACCTTCTGCCACATCGTCCTGGCCAGCAAGAAGAGTCAGCACGGGTGGAGTTTATGCTGGGCGGTCAGCCGCCAGTGTTGACCTATGATGGCTTCGCTCAGGCCATGGGGCTCGACACCACTCACATGATGATGGCAGAGCGGCAGTACACCTTCGACATCAACTATTAGGGCGCATTCAGAGCCCTCTGCCGCCCAGAGCACGAGCAGAGCGAGTTCGAGGGGAGCCGCACCAATGCGGTAAAGCTAAAGACCCAATGGAGGAATCTCCACACTCTGCTCACCATATCCGTCGTCCCCAGCCTCCAGTCAGGCCACTTGATGAGGAACAGAGGGCCCATTGCCCTCTCCTCGATGAGGAGTCCAACTGAGCCGATCCATCTGGGATCGTTGATCACCACCTCTTTCGCCCGGTGCCTGAGGCGACACAGGGTGGACACTATGCATAGGGGGGGCATCATCACGAGGATCGCCTGCCACTTCCAGGTGGACCTGGCCCGCTGTACCAGCGTTGGAAGGATGTAGCCCTTCCGAGTGGAGACATTGTATAACCAGAAGCTGGTACTCCAGGGCGAGAGAGGAGTGGAGTACCTTGACGGACTAAGACCTTCTGGAGTCATTCGAGCTGTAGCAGCACCGGCTCCATTGGAGCCCGACCCCGAGGTCCCACCTGCAGTAGAGCAGCCACCTGCTCGTGCACTCGGCCGCCGCCGGCCCCCCAGCGATCTCGCACCCTACACAACAGCCACCACCACCAAATGTAGGCGATCCCCTCGTCCAGAGGGTGGATCACCTCGAGACGAGCTTCATGGGATTCTCATCCCGCCTCGACCGACAGTCGGACATTCTCGAGCTTATGGCACGCCACCAGGGTATCCTACCCGATGATGGACAGGGTCCATCCACCGGAGAGAGGTAGCCTTCGAGAGAGACATGTGGTAGAGCTGAGTCCTTTCGCCCCAGTTCTCTACTTGTAACCCTAAACTTGTTTTGTTTTTGTTTGTGTTATTTGTGTGTGTTGTGTGTGATATAAACTACTACTACGTATTGTGCGTGTAATAACCTCGCATAGAGCAATTCGTATTGTGCTTGTGTGTGTTTTTTGTTGTCTCTCCTTAAAGCTCAAATTATCCTACCCCGGTTCTATTCCTACCTTCACTCACCAAGCCCAAGCGGTAACATCACTCTACCCCTTTCTTATGCCATTGAGGGCAATGCTGAGTTTAAGTGTGTGTGTGTGGGGGGGGGGGGGGGGGGGGGGGGGGTAGTCTACTAGTATGCTTGTGTGAGTGAGATGTTGCTTGGAACCTTTTGTATGCCCAAAATTTCAAAATTTGAGGGCTCCAAGCAATGTTTGCATGATCAAAGTGGTCGGATGGTGGGAAATTCTCGTGTTTATGGCATTGATCTTGAATTGTTGCATGTGATCGAGTATATCCTATGATAATGACTGAGAAGTTCATTAGGAAAAGGCAAAAGTTTAGTTCTCAGGTGTGCATAAATGAATGGATGTCTTGGCGTGATCACTTGTTGTTTACAATTGACATGCATCGTGTTTGTGAATTGGAATAGATGGTTGGGTAACTAGGTAGTATGTGAGCTTTGAGCCGATCGTTTCTTTCGGTGTGATAGTTCCCTCTTACCACGGTGTGTAGCATCACAGATTTCACTAGCAAGTATGATGGAGGCATAGGATGAGTCCACGCCCAAACGTTGATTGTCCCGAAATGTATCATCCCTTAGTCAACCCATTTGAGCCTTGTGACTCCGTGGGTAATTCTCAATTTAGGATCTTCGTTCGTGTGAGATTAAAGGTGTTAGTAGAACGACCCCCAAATCCTTTCTTTGTGTCTAAACATGAGTCGCCCGTGTGTCCTGGAGCTCTTACCTTTGAGATTCCATAGAGGTTCTACATAGGAGGTTTGTGTGTGGTTCTTGCTAGGAATGCAAAAGGGAGTGTAGTGTTGGAGTGAGTTCCTCAAAAAGAGAGCATTGGTCATTAAATTTTTAGGTGGCAAGTGTTTTTACTCTCTAGTACCCCCCTCAAAAATAAAAATAAAAAAGAGAAAGAAAAGAGAAATGAAAAAGAGGTAATAAAATGGGGTAAATAAAGTGGAGAGTGCCACGAAAACCCAAATTACATGCTCTAGGGGGTGGGGTTTCTTGGCACCCAAGCCATCAAAACCCCAACATTGTTTGAACTCCTTCACTACCAAACCTTAAAGAGCTAGCAAGAGTTGACCGAGAAAGAGTGCTTCAAGGTAGTTCATGATGGGTGATAGTTGGAAGGGAGAGATAAGGGTTTTGGTCGATCCTAGTGCCCTTTGATTGAAGAGAAGGGTTTTAGTCAAAACCATAGACCCTTCGGGTTTAGGTTGAAGATGTAGAACCTCACGTCATGATTGCCACCACCCAAAAAGCTTTTTCCCCATGTCCAAGCCAATCGCCAGTCATCTGAACCTGTGTCTCAGACCTACAGAAGAGCTAGTGGTATTGAGACGACAGGACCGAGAGGTTACGATTTTGCGCATATTTTTGCACCAAAAAGGTCCCGACCCCACTAGTCGTAAGAGTGAGTGATCCATTATTGTTTTACTTACCATTTTATACCCCGGTGAGGACCTTGGTTGCCTTTCCATTTGTTCCTCGGACTTGAATTCCATGCATGGTTGGTTGTGGTCGTAAGCGGTTTTGTTGAAACTTACATTTATCCATGAATAAGTTGAGAACTTTGCATTTGCCCGTTTTGGTGGCTTTGAATGTCGTTTGTGGTGGATGTCGGTATTGCTTGCAACGGTTCATGTGTTGATTGTCAATAAACATCGAGAATTCCCGCTTCGTGCCCTTTGAGTTGTCACCAAAGTATTTGTGTACGTTGAAATATTACCATGTGTGAAATGGTTTGCCTGGGGACAAGCAAACGTCTAAGTGTGGGGGGTTGATTCGTTGTTTTGCCCCTGTTTTACTTAGATGTTTGTGCCAAATTCACTCCTAAAAGGTTGGTTTTACGCTAGGTTCTTCCTGTTTGAGTGTGTTTCAGAATTTAAACAGGTGAAACCAGCCTCGGAATCGAAAGATTGGCGAAAAGGATTGAAAACCGGGAGAAGAGGTAAAAAAGAGCCAGTTCACCGCTAACTGAGGGAGTTCACGGTCATGCAAGACAGTGAAGAAGAGGAGTTGACCGTGAATCGCGAGGGGTCCAGAGCCAATGTGAAGGTTACTGACTCAAGGTGAGTTCACGGTCACTAAGACCGTGAACAAAGGCAGTTGGCCGTGAACGGACGAGAGCTATGCAGCGCGTTTTGGCGCACGCCTGGAGTTCACGGACGCGTTTCATGGTTCATGGCCGTGAACACATGCCGTTAACTCATCTCATCTCATGTTTAAAAGATGAGGTGAAAGGAGGAGAGAGGGGAGAGCCCACTTTTGTATGAAACACCTTCTTCAGCATTCTAGTGAGATAAACAGAACCAAAGGGAAGAAGAAGGTTAGGGTTTGGCTTCAAGGCAGATTTTGGGAAGATTTCCCCCAAGGAAAGCTCAACTCAAGGGTCAAGAAGACTGGGAGCATCCTCAAAGATTGTTTCCACCTTTTTCCCTTTTGTTTTCCCCATTTCTAGTATGGAGCAAATGATAACGATGTATTTGCACATGTTTGCACCCTTAGTTCTTACCCATTTGCGGCTCGTAGTCGTGTATTTTTGGCTCGTTTTACGCTGGGTTGTGCTACTTTGTCATATTTCAAGTCCCAAATGTCGAAGGAAAGGCTAAACACGAGATTCGGGGCATTTGGAGGTCATTTGATCGAGTTGGGAGCAAAACACGGGCAGGAGGCCTGAAGAACACGGTCGTGTACACAAATGAGCACGCCAGTGTTTTTATGTGCAAGAGCTGAATCGGAGGAAAAGCAAAACACGGGCTGGCCTAAAGAAGAACACGACCATGTCCCAAGCCGTGTTTTTTATGTCGAGGCTTGACTGAAGGGAGCTCCTGCGATGTTTTAAACACGGACGGATGTAAAGAAGAACACGGTCGTGTCCATCTTTGTGCACGACCGTGTTTTTGAATGACGTGGGCGTGTTTTTAACACGTGGCAAGGGCACGGACGGTCAAAAGCAAAACACGGCCATGCCCTCGACCGTGTTTTGCCCAGTATCGAATTTTTGAGGCAGATTCGAGCCAGAGTGAGGGAATCGACTTTTTGGAGCAAAAATAGAGTTTTAGAGAGAGAAAGTGCGAAGAACAAACCCTAGGAGCTATTTGGAGTGGATTTCTCACCATTGAAGCCCAGATTGCATCCCCAGGAGTGAAGATTGACATCCCAGAGCAGATTCCTCCCATTGTTATGAGTATGACTGCTTTGTATTCTGTTTCCCCCTCTCTCTCTATGGAGTAGAACTTTCTCTCACTTGGGTATGAAGAACCCTAGTTCCATGTCTTAGGAATCTTGATTGTAATTACGTTTGGATTGTGATATTGCTTGATTTTAATCGATTGATGCATGATTCATTGAGTCAATTGAAGTCTGATCATCTTTTCTTGATTTCTGCGGCAACCTAAGATAGATAGAATCTGATTAGGTTGTTAGAGCTTCATCAATCGGTGGTGGTAGATTGGTTATACGAGAGTTAATCAATCTACTGCTTTGTACTGGAACCCAATTCCATTAGTGGAGTTATGTTCTTATTGCCTCAACAGTCTATCCCGGTGAAGCTTAGTCTCATGCCGGTTAGCCTTCCTGAGAGGGATTGGCCAGCTTAAGAGATTCCAAGTAACTGTAGGATCTTTCGCAGTTTAGTCAACAGTTAATCAACCCAGGGTTATTACAACTGAGACCTAACTAAGGAGCTAGGGGGACTCATTCCCGAGTGACTCTTCCTTTGCTTTAGAAAACCAAACCATTTCCTGCTTTCTTACTGCTTTTACTTAAATCAACCATCACTTAACTTAGTTTGCTAGATAACAGATATACACGGAGTAGGCAGTAGATCTAGACCCCGGGTTGACAATTAGAGCTTGCCTGTTGCTACATTTCCAGACTGCGATTACACTTGGTCGTAGTTAAGGTGACCAAATGGACCGGTACGGCCCTACCGCAGCCCAGGTCCGCCCACCCATGGCGCTGCCCGCGATCCCCTTGTGCTGGACCGGTTGGTCCGGTTCGACCAGGTTCGATTAGACTCGGTTTGGTCCGACTCCGGTCCGGTCGGTCAGCTCTGGTCTAGTCTCCCTAGGCCGGTTTGGGTTGGCTACCCAGCCCATGTTTTCCCCCATTGGGCCCGGGTCGCTCCATTGGGTCTCGTACTCCATCGGGCCGAACCCTTCGGCCGGTCCATAGTACCCCGACCCGCCTCCTCTTGGATCCGCCATGGGCAGCCCACCTTCATAGCCCGCCGCCTTGCCTTTCCCGCGGCCATCCATCACCACAGGCCCTTGGGGCGTCGGTAGTAGGCCCAACCCACTGTTCGGGTGATTAGGCCCCCAAACGGTTAGGGTTTGGAAACCCTAGTCGGTTGTTCTCGCCACCCCAAGGGGTCAGCACCTCAAGCCGACCACGCTCCCCCTCTGCCGCGCGGAGAGCCTTCTTCCCCGCCGAATCTGCCGTCGTGATCACCTCAGCCTTCGGGTCAATCGCAGCCGCTCGCGCGAGGCGTTTGGTCTCCGTCTCCTTGCCCCACGCGCCCTCGCCTGGCTGCCCCATGGCGTCTCCTTGCTCCCCCCCCCCCCCTCGATCGACAAGAGGGGAGGTAGGAAACGCGCCTGTGTTTCTGCCATCATGCGGAGGGCCTGCTCCATCCGTTCTTTGGTGCTCGTCAAGCTATTCCGCAACTCTTGGAGGTTGGTAGTCGTCTGCGCGATAGTTCTTTCCTGCTGAACCGCCACGCCCTACAGGGGCGTGAGTAGGGCCTCATGCTTGGTGTGATCCTTGACGATCACGGTTTCTTTCACTGGTTTTGTTGTCGTGTCCGTCATCTTGTCTGCCATTGTCTCTATCCCGCCCCAAGCAGGCTCTGATACCACTGAAGGAAACAAGGATCTAGACGCGTACAACCTAGAGATAATTCTCAGTCCAGCTCGGAAGTAGTGAGAGATTAGGGATTTGAATTGGAGGATTTAGGAGTTGAGAAAAGAGAGAAGGGAGGAGGTGAGGTTCAGCGCCTCTTAGGGAAAAAGGAGGCAACCGAGTGGCGGGAAGAAACGAGAGAGAGAAGAATTGAGGGAAGGGGAACTAGGTTTAGGGAATAATAATTATTATTACTTGTTTAACGTTAGAAACCCCTCCCGTACAAAATATATAAGACCGACAAATTACTTATAACTACCCGAATAATGAATAACATCCGAATTACGAAATATTCCCTCAAAGTCCAAAATAATAACGAAAGGCCCTTCAAATGAAATTAACTACCAACTCGTCCCACGTACTGTTGACTCTATGATTTATGTTTCCTACAGAGTCCAGTAGATTCGAAAACTGCTCTGGACGCATGGCGGTTCACGGTTGATGGCTGCAGTTCACGGTCCATCTGACCGTGAAATCTCTGCTTCTGCCGTGATCTGCGGCTGCCTCCATCATTTGACCCGATTTTGTGTCTTTTTGTCCAACTTCCGACTCCGGGGTTGGTTTCACCTGCTTGAGTTTGAAACACGCTAAAACAAGTCAAAACCTAGCATAAAACCAAATCTCTCGGAGTGCAAATGCTTAAAACGCCTAAGAAAAACGAGGATAAAAAGTGTACAATTAGTCCAGAATCACGAATACTTAAGAGGGGTCGTATAATCATCACCGAAAAGCTCACAAGTGGTCCCACTTCCATGGGGTGTCCACGGGCCATTGCATGAGCGTGGGGCTTCCCGTGATTGCCTCACCGCAAAAATTTCTTCATTATGTTCCTAAAGTCTTTGATGTTTTAGCATTTTCTCCCTTGTCTGAACTCTGAATCAATCCTCGTTTGATCCAAGATGCTTGGAATCTCATCCTCTTTCATGACATGATGAGCTTCCATGATGACTTGGCCATATAATGAGGTTTAACTTTATTATGTCATTCTTTATTGTATTTCTTATCTGAATATCGTCAAATTCAGTTCCAATGACCTGAAACACACTAAAGCAACAAACCAAGAATAAAACATGTAAAAACGTAGAAATATTGATGGAACAACCAAGCAAAGGATATTAAAAGGTGTATAAAAACATGTATAATTTACATGTTATCAACTACCGTAACTCTTGCAATTCGTTTGGAATTGACATGATCCACTACAGGAAACAAATGGAGTGTCCTATGGTGATGGTAATGAGTGGTTTATGGAAGGATCAATGCTCAAGGTTGTATGATAGCATAAAGAAGGGGTGTTAGTTGCTTCCATCATATGTGATTTGCATGGGGATCAAAGAGCTAAATAAAGTACTATAAGTTGATCCTAATAACTCCATTGTTAATTTGATTTCTTAAATTTGTATAGAAAATAGGCAAGATCAGTAGTATTTATAATTTATTTGCCAGGGATTAAAGAGCTAAAGGAAGGACAATCTAAAGTCTAAACAAACGCACTGTGGTACATAGGACTGCAAATGAGTTGAGTTGTTCACAAGTGACTCGATGTTCGACTTGGTAACAACTCGATCGTTCGAAATTGAACTGGTTTACTAATGCGCCAAGTTTGAGCTAAGCCTTGCTGACCCCGCGAGCCAATTTGACTCGGTGACGTGTTGGGGTCAACACTCGTGAGTTAACTCGATTTGAGCTCATGAGATGTCGTAATATTGTGGCTAGCGAGCCAAATCGACTACCGGCTTCTGAGCGAATCGGCCTATATTTTATGAGTTGCCTTGTTGACAATTCATATGATTGTTAAATTATGTATTTCATCCGATATGTTTAAGACTTCGAGTATGTGAGAAAACAAATCTCAACTATAATTTAAAAGAAAATTTATGTATTTATTGATTGTTTACATATTAATTATAAATATATGACCGAAACTCGAGTGAAAATTGTGTGAGCTCATTAATCAACCCAGTTCGAAACCCAAACTAAAGGATTGAAAATAGTCAGAGCGGCGATACTCTCGCAGAGGTCCACAACCTAATTGTCTTTTATCCAAAGACACCCCAACTACCGTCCTTGGAGAAACTTGCTTGTACCAAATCCCTACGTCGGAATTTTCTTATTTCCCATACTTGAAGAAACCCAATTAAAAAACTTCCCCTACAGAGGCGATGGTGTGGTTGCCGGAAAGTGCACGGGTCGAAGTGATTCAATCTCGCCGGAGGGGATGCTTGGCTTCGATATGGACTTCGATAGCAACGACACCCATCTTGTGAACTCTAACATTTAGAGGTTACCGTCATGGTAAAGGGACGTTAGGATTGAGCGTGAATATGAACATCTTTTGCATCAAATGGTCCTGACCCCACTGGTCGAGAGTGAGTGATTCATTTATCATGTTTTGTTCATTTCTTATACCCCGATGAGGACCTAGGTTGCTCGATCGTTTATTCATGTGATGGGATCTTCATGCATGAGTAACTGTGATTGGTGAGTCGTCGAGGCATGTTGTGTGTTGGTTGACGAATAATGTGAGAACTCTTCTTTTGCACATTCTGTATACAGTTGAATGTCGTTTGTGGTGGTTGCCAAGATTACTTTGTTTTTGTTAGGGTTGTTCAAATGGATTGGTTATCGTGATAACCATATAAACCGGTAACATTCGGTTAATTTGGATAATTGGTCTGGTTAAACAATTTAGCTTATTTGGTTTAGGTGGTTGGGTGTGGTTTCAACACTGCTAACCAGTGAAACCAATTAACCAATTAATGAAACATCTAATATACAAAATTATTTATACTTCCATGCAACCAACCAAACCAAACTTTCATGAGTCCCTATTTTATTTCCATGTGCACAACAAACCAAACATTATGGGTCAAAAATTAAATGGGCCTGCCTATTTACGAAATCAAAACATTTTGGACAACTACTAGACTTTAGAATTACGTACAATAAAATGACAGTCACCTCAAACTATGTATAATTTAAGTGTTCTGTAGGAGAGCTTTAACTTCCTCATGAGTGGTATTGGTATGTATTTAATATTTATGTTAAGGGTTTGTTGTAAGCTAACTATATTAGGTGCAGAGATGATGAATGATGTATTAACTCGAATGATGATGATAATCATGGATGGTTAGTCTTATTATCATTGCTTATATATAATAATAGTTTATGATAGTAATAACATATGGTTATGTTTTATTCATTAACAAGATAATTGTTTTCATGTAATGTTATGTTATTTGGTTAATCCGATTATCCGATTAACCAAACCAATTAAACTTTGGTTTGGTTAAGTTGGTTTTCGTGTTAATTTGGACGGTTTGCTTAAGACATTTTATTCCATGGTTAATGAAATTTAGACTTAATTGGTTTGGTTATTACCATGGTAACCATTTGAACACCCCCTAGTTTTTGTCCATAGGTCGCTGTCAAATAACCATTGTGATTCATTCGTTTTGTGCCCTATGACATGCCTCAAAAATTTTGTTGAAAAAGAGAAGTTACAAACTTACCTTGTTTTGTTCTTAGTTTGCTTGGGGATAAGCAAACATTCAAGTGTGGGGGAGGGATACGGGTCCAATTGTACACATTTTGCCCCTCATTTCTTGATAGTTTGACTTTGCATTTCATCGTTCCTCGACATATTTCACGCTAGGTTGTGCTTGTTTTGATTCAGGTCCTAGCACGTGTGGAAGGGTCGAGGACGAGTTTCGGGATAATTGGAGGTCAAAAAGCGCAAAAAACCCCGAATAGAAGCGCAGACGTCCAGGAAGCAGCCGCAGTTCACGGCCTGGCATTGGAGTTCACAGTCGCTAAGGCCGTGAACTGGAACCACAAACCGTGAACATAGAGGCGTCCAGTGAGGTTACAGAAGTTACTGACGCCAAGGGATTTCACGGTCCTAAGACCGTGAACTTGGAGCACAACCCGTGAACCCAGGAGAGTGAAGCGGTGTGTTTTGGAGACAACACTGAGTTCACGAACGCGTTTAGGTGTTCACGACCATGACCTAGCCAATGCGGCCGTGAACTGGTCACTTTCGGACAAATATGAAGACATCAGTGGGGAGAGAGAAAGGCGAGCTGGTTTTTGGAGAAGCTACACTTTCTTTCTCTAGGGTTTCAACCCAAAACACCAAAGGGGAGTTTTAGCGAGAGAGAGAGAGAGAGAGAGAGAGAGAGAGAGAGAGAGAGAGAGAGAGAGTGGTCTTGGAGCTTAATTGAAGGCATTGATCAAACTTGGAAGCTAGGAATCAAGCCTAGAAGAAGAAGATGAAGATATAGAGGTTTCTTTGTAATCTCTCCTCTCTCTCTAGAAACTCGCCCTCTTCTCTTGGGTTTAAGAACCCTAGGTTTAGATTTGGGTTTAATGTTGACGTATGTGACAAACTCCGTGATTGATTGATGATTTTACTTAATTGATGGATGTTTTCATGAATGGCATGAGTTGGGTTTCCATTTTCATGTATTGAGCTTTTGACCTAGGAGGGAGATAATCCCCTTAGAGCCCCCCTTTTGGTGTCTTCGGGTCACTCCTATCGTATACTGTCCGGGTAGTCCCCGAGGGAGTTGATTCGACAAGTCTCCTAGCATTATACGAAACCCTAGGTTGAATAGAGCACTACCCATCCATCGATTCCGCCGTTCTGGGTCATTCCCGAGGGAGTCCATCTCCAAACGGTATTGTAGTTGAGTCGATCGAGCTAGGAGGATACCCAACTTTGATTCAAAGAACGCACCTAGGACGATTCAACCCAAGAGAGCTCCCTATCTTGTAAATAGCTAGGTTAGTGGTTAGTCTAAGTTAGTTTAATTCTATCAATCACTATCCTAGGTTGGCTAGATAACGAACCCTAAACCTGAAGTAGGGTAAGCCTAGATCCCCGTGGTACGATAAATTCTTATTGCTTGCTTGTCCTATGCTACACTTGGTCGGCGGTTATACTTAGTCGTCGATCAGGATGTTGTAGTTAGAACGAGTCATTTATCTTATTACTTTCTTCTTTTGTCCTACTCAGATTCATAGGGGAAGGGGCTCACTTTTTGCTATGTGGCAATTTTGGTGTTACCCATCTTCTAATAGGGGATGTAGCACCTTTTTAAATCCTTCAACAGTCCTATATGGGCTATGTTTGTTCCTTTTGCAGGGTTGTTGGGGCTTTAGATTGTATACCAAGACTTCTCATAGCGTGGGCTACTTTCACTGGCCTATCCTCCTCAAGTCCCCTATGGCCGCCAATGATGTTTTTGTGTTTGTTCATGTTGTAGGTGTAGCTGCTTATAAGGCTGCCCATTTGTGGCTAAAAACGCCCTTTCATCGATAGTTCGACTATTTGACTATTGCACGATGTTTTTTTCCTGTTATTTGACCATGTATGAGTCAACGATTTACCTGACCATTGTCCATGTAATAAAAAAAACCAAACTAAAATTTTAGTAAAAAGGTTTCAATTTATTTGGAAACGAGTGAGACAATACAAAATTTAACCTTGGCTCATTTACTGCGGTAGTTGTAGATGCACTAAAATGAACCATAATCAGAAAGCAAAACCAAGAAACAAAAAGCGGAATCATTCCACCACCATCTGACTTCATTTCCCCAGCGAAACAAAGAAATCCATCCGCAGACTCTCTCTCCGCCATCTCCCTCTCCACGACCATAGCCTGCTAGCTAAACCCCTTACCCCTCCTCTGTTTGTATCAGTTTCCCATTCCTCCAACCCCGATGTCAACTAACCCCGCTTCTCCCCCAACCGACCCTCCAGCCAGTATCCTCCACGCGCCGCTTCTTCACTCACAGCATGACTCTCCAAATTCCTCCTCCTCGCCTCCGTCTCCCATCGATGGCCGCTCCACTTCGCTGGCGGTTCTGCTCGGCCGGGCCACGGGAAGGCGCGGTCCTTCCCTCCTTGTCAGGGAATCGGCCGCGCGTGAGCTCGAGGAGCGACGCGTCGACTGGGGCTACTCCAAGCCGGTTGTCGCCGTCGACATGCTATGGAACATTGCCTTCGTCTTGGCGTCATTCACGATGTTGATGTTGACCACCAAGGAGAGGCCTAACACGCCGATCAGGGTTTGGATCTGCGGCTACGCTCTTCAGTGCTTGGTCCACGTGGTGCTGGTGTGGCTGGAGTATCGGAGGAGGAACGGCTCCGGCAGGGCGGCGTCTAGTGATGGTGATCGTAGGCGCCGGCAGGAGGAAGTGGATGGTGGGAGCTTGGATAGTGAAGATGACGATGGGACTGATCGGCCTTCCTTCACTACCAGGTTATTTGGACCTCATTCCTTTGGTGGTTGGCTTTCGTCTCGATTTTGATTGTGTTTGAATTTCGGTAGTTTTGTTGGTTAGCAATATCATTTTTGAACTATAGAGATGGAATTCGAATTCGAAGAGTCAAATTTGAATTTCTAAGAGAATGGACAGTAATAACTTCTTCAAGGGTGATCATTGATGGAACTGCCCAGTAATTGTCTATTTTGCCATGTTGGAACAAAATTTGCTTAGGAGGACTTGTCCATCGATTTGTATTATTACTCTGTAATTTCCGAGTAGATGGACCATGGTGTTTCCTTTATGTGCTGTGGGGGAAAAGTTTAGCTTAGTAATAAAATCAAGCACTTCACTGACATTCATATCTATTTTGAGTACCATTGGGTTTTTACCCGGTACAAATGGGTTGTAAATTGTGATGCTAGCCTCTTGCTGATTGTTTGAATGGATTGATTCTTTAGTTTTGTGAAACGATGCGAGTCAGTGAATACAATGGCATCATTTGTGTGGTGGATCGTCGGCTTTTATTGGGTGGTCTCTGGGGGCGATCTCCTGTTGCAGACTGCTCCTCGCTTGTACTGGTAAGAATTCTGCTTCAGCTTGTTTTTGTCGTAGTTGCTGATCTGGAGAATTAGTCCTACTCTTTTTGAAACCCTGCTTTGGGTTGCTGATTTAAGCCCTTATCTGCTCTGGTTATAATTTTTTTCTTGCAGGTTGGCTGTGGTCTTTCTGGCATTTGATGTGTTCTTTGCAATCTTCTGTGTTGTCCTGGCATGCTTGATTGGCATTGCTCTTTGTTGCTGCTTGCCATGCATCATAGCAATTCTTTATGCTGTAGCAGGACAGGTACAGGCTAAATAATCTTTTATTTTGTTATTACTGAATTCTCTACCTTGTAATCACTCATAGATTTTATTGTTGTTGTTAATTTTTTTCTTCTCTGAGTGAATAACTGGGCATTGTTGGCTGTTATCACATTTGTGGTTATCTAGGAAGGTGCATCAGATGCCGACCTCGGTCTCCTCCCTAAATACAGATTCCAGATGTTGAACAATGCTGAGAAACTCAATTCTGAGGCAGGGAAAATGGTTCCAGTTGAGACTAGCAGCCTATACGTAGCACAGGAGCGGATGCTACTGCCTGAAGATGCTGTAAGCTGTTTTTTCCAAATTGATAGAATCTCTCTCTTCTAACAATTTCTTCAATCTAAACGTTGCCTTTCCCGTGCCCATTCAGTTGCCTTTTTTTTGTGACACCTTTTCTGTTTTTAGTTCCCCTTGTTTTCTGATCTTTAGACCCTTTTTCTTTGACAATAGTACTTGCAATCTATTCCATGCTTTACTGAGTGCAGAAGTGGAAACTCCCCCCAGAGTTTCCCTTCTGATTACAATGTTTTGATGATTGGCAATTTGCCATTGTTTGGGTTTTGGTAGATGACTAAGTGAAGAGGAAATATGAGAATATGGGTTTTGTTTAAGATTGTTCGAAATTTTAGAGAACAATAGAATAAGGAGAGAGAGAGAGGGGGTAAAAGTTGCCTCTCCGATCCAGGAGCAGTACTTTGCTTTAGAATCCCCTCAAGGAAGTACCAATTGGAATACCGAAGTACCGATTGGGATACCGGAATATTTAGGGATTGGGATTGAGATACCGAAATTATTTAGGGATTGGGATTGTGATTGACTTTCGGATATAATTCAGTATTCGGGATTTCGGTATTTGGTATTGGGATACCGATACTGTACCGATTTCCACTCCTACTAGTGATCAAGCAGAGTTACAGTTAGAGTTAGAAGCAAAAATAGAATAAAGATTGAACTTTGCCCGGTGATATTGGGTGTGGGAAGTTGAAGTAAAAGGGGGTTTGCATAATATGGATCTGTGTTCCTTTTCTCTCCTTTGCGATCCAGTTGGTACTTGTAGGACTTAGCATATCAGCATTGTTTCTAAAGCACGATAGTACTAGTACAGAGTCTACTGAGGACTGGGGGTAGGAGTTCTGTGTAATCAGATGATGAACCATTAATACATCATGGTCCATGGATGCTATTGAGAAAGCGTTGCACATGATCTTCGTGAAGAGGGAACAGGACAGAGTCCTTTGCGCGCATGAGGTGCACATGAGTTTCTTATTTGTCGTCTTGTTTAGCCTTCCCTGATTGATTTATGTGGTTTAGTGCCTTGTAGTTGGATTAGCTGAGCAATTTACCCTTAGTTCTGGTATTGGATTTTGGAGATGAATGGTTATTCCAGACATGATTTACCAAGTAATCTATTGCTTCTTTTCAGGAATGCTGCATATGTCTGACATCTTATGATGATGGAGCGGAGCTTCATACCCTACCATGCAACCATCATTTCGATTCCAGCTGCATTATAAGATGGCTTAAGATGAATGCAACTTGTCCTCTCTGCAAGTACAACATTCTGAAAGGAAACGAGCAGGTATAAATTCGTAAGTGACAGAAGGAATTCTGAGAATGAGCCAGCCACCGCAACTTTGTTCCAGCCAAGGCTCCGGGGGAGCAAAGCAATCGGTTGTAAATAGAGAACCCGCAGTTAAAGATGATATAGTGTATTCTTGCTTATAGCTCGTAGCCTGGAGGGGTTTATTGTGTCATGTCTTAGTTCTCTGTCATCCAATAATTTGCTATTAGTGTTTTCAAACTCTTTTTTCAGCTTTGCCTTATCTGAACATTTAGGAAGAGTCCCCGGAGACTGTTCTGGAAGTTTAATTGAATATGTTCGCTTTGTAATATGTTTACTAGTTGATGTGACCAAATCAGGTATAAGGATCTTTTTATGATTTTCTTGATGCCGCTTTTCTTGAATTCGAAAATTAAATAAAGGATAGGATGATCAATTGGACAAACCCAACCGTGATGAAGAGCAATTGGTATGTTAAACCAATCGGACAACACCAACTCGTGGAAAAGGGTAATTGATAATGGTGATGCTCACTACAAATATATGTGTTCTCTAGTTGATAAGAGACGCGAAATTCCTGGAGACTCTCGATAGAAGCTTGAACAAAATATTTCTATTTATTCTTACGGAACTTGAGTAAAACTCTTGAATTGATTGATAAAAAGTTGATGATTGACAAGCTAGAACTTGGCCCTATTTATGGACTATCTAAAACAATTCCAAAACAAACAAAGAGAGCAAATAATAACCAAATCCTACGAGTAAAAGGAAAACCTACTTTGACCCATTCAACTCCTTAAAACATGCGTTCAAAACCCGGCCCCCTATTACATTCACACTTGAGATCTGTTTCACACCTTCATTCCTTGTAGGTTAAGGAAATGATCTTCCTTTTGGACTAAGAAACTCTCAAAAGCCCATTCCTCTCTTCTTGGCCGCTACCTTCATCCTCTAAGCTCATATGATCCTCTTCAATTGAAATACCATAATGGACTTCCCTTTGTGATGGTCCACGTCCATATCATCAAGATGAAGATCCAAATAGCTAGTGACTTCCTCGCTTAGCTTCATACTTAGCCTTAAGACGAGTGATTAGACCTTCTTGTGACGTTGTAGCTTGTCATTGATGACCTCATCAGTCCCTCCATCTTCAAAAGGATTTGACCTCAAATCCAAATTGCCATCCATGTAAGGTGCAATATCAGAAATATTGAAAGATGCACTTATCCCATACTCCTCTGGCAATCGATCTTATAGGCATTGCTTCCAACTTTCGGAATCACTTGGAAGGGACCTTCACTTCTAGGCAGTAGTTTGGATCTCCTTTGGTAAGAAAATATATCTTTTTTTTTTTTTTTTGCAAAGTTAGTAGTTGAAAAAACAGACACACATGAAAAAAGAAATGCACGGGAGTCGAACTCTCGATGAGAGGGCCTTTTGTGCCACATGATGGGCAACCCTATTGAGTTGACAAGAAACAAAACAGTAAGAAACCCTGCTAAACGAAGAAGGCAAACTCCGAGCGTCCTCCAAAATAGCTCCACCACGATCATGATGCAGATCACCTTCAATGTCTTTCCTAATGTGCATCCATACGCAATCTCCAGCTTCAAATGATCGAGGCTTTCTACCTTTGTTGGTGTGCTTCATCATCTGCTTTGTCCTTCTGTCAATATTCAACCTCGTCTTCTCATGGAGAGTCTTCACAAACTGAGCCTTCTTTGCTCCATCCATATTAACTTGTTCCTTCAACGGTAAAGATGTAAAATCCAAGGGGTTAAGTGGATTGAACCCATACATGAGTTTAAAAGGTGAGTGCTTTGTGGTCGAATGCACAACCCTGTTGTAAGCAAACTCGACATGTGGGAGGACGTCTTGCCAAGTTTTGATATTGTTCTTGATCACGGCTCGCAACATTTGGAAAAGAGTATGATTCACCACTTCAGTTTGTCTATCTGTTTGATGATGCCAAGTCGTAGAAAACAAAAGCTTCATGCCTAGTTTGCTCCACAATGTCTTCCAAAAATAGCTCAAGAACTTTGCATTGAAAATCCATATTCTAAAAATGTAGATGACAAATTTATAATACAACCAATAAAACAAAGTTAAAAAATAAGTTTGAAAAAAAAACCTAATAAACAATTTGAAGATCCATCATCTAAACAAATAACAATCTAATTGTTCAACCCTTTCCAATTATATATTTTGTAGGCTTTGTTCAAGTGGCTATTGGTGTTGTGTGGCAAGAGTTTGGTGCATTACATATACATATACTACGTTATAACATGTTTCTGCTCGGCTACATATTACACTTGGATTTTTAGTTTGACGATGCCTTGCAACAAAGCCAAGGATGTTAAAAAATGCCACAAATTGGGTGATTTGCATGTTGGTAGAGAAATTAGGAAAATGAATGAGAAAGTGACGCTAAATAATATCTATAGAGGTAATTTAGTTAATAAATAGGGATAATGATGTCATTATATTATAATTAATAAAATTCTTTTAGAATTCATTTATAAATTTCAACTAACATTGTCCTAACTAGTTACAATTTCTTAGAATTCAAATTTTAGAATTGAAAATGAATTCTTTTAAATACCAAGCAAAAAAATTTCATTTCAAAAAACTTATGAAATACATATATACCAAACAACAATGAAATACATATATACCAAACAACAATGTTAGATTTCATTTCAAAACAATTTAGACAGAAGACTTAAATATCAAATCTACGGTGAAAAAGTGGCAAGAAAATTATTCACAAAAAGAGAAAAATATCACTTAAAAATCGCAAATCACCCAATAATTTCCAAGAATCACAGGAATCATAGTTAGTCAATACTCCGTTTAGTACACGTATATATACTCGTACGTATTGTATCCGTTTAAAACTTTCGTATTCGTATTATTGTCAAGTCGTTTCATTTTCTCCCGTTCATTTGATGACTCTCGTACTAAATACGTATAAACCCCGTATAACACGTTTAATATCCGTATTAATAAATTAAACTGTTTTATTATGGTTAAATCAAAATTTTTATTAAGAACAGGCATAAAACCTCTCAAACAAGTTGTACAACCATCAAGAAGAGCAACAAAAAAACCCTATAATCTCAGCCCTATCACATCCAAACTTTGGCCTAGTAGGTCTACACTCGCAACTCTATACATAAGAATCTGCAGAACATCTTTACTGACAATATCGGGGGATTTCACTACTTTTGTACCATACAACTTATAGAACTAGAATACGAGTTCTATCGGTTGATTAGGGATTAGGATCAACTAGGGATTGATCCGGCTAATTGGGAATTGGGAAGAATAGTTGAAATTGGGATTCGATCAGAAGAAGAGAGGAAGGGGAAGTTGCTGCCGCGCAACCAAAGAGAGAGGGGGAAGAGGAGTTGGGTCGGCAGAGAGAGAGAGAGAGGAAGGGAGAGGGAATTGAGAGTTTAGGTTTAGGTTAATTCTTGCTTAGTGGCCTAATCCCACTTACAAGTAATATTTATAATAATTGGACAATTACCTACTACTACCCACATATAATTTATTCCCAATTCCCGAAATGGTCCCAATAATCCGAAATAGCAATAATCCGACAACTAAACATAATACTAAATTACTAGGTTTCTATCATCCCCGTTTCCTTCGAAAATCAACCTTGTCCCCAAGGTTGCTCCTCGAGCTCACTGGGTCGCCTCCTCTCCAATCCGGGCATCCTTGGCTGCGTCTTCCGCTTCATCTTCCCAACGCCCCACTAACATCATCAGGTCCGGCTTCGGGCATTGATGACCGATGGTGAACCGACCATCACAATTGAAACATTTGCCCTCCGCCTCTTTTGCTCGACCTTGGCCAGAGACAGTCGCACGAACCCCTTGGGAATGGCCCGTGGTCCCATCCTAGCCACCGGTGCAGGGCCTCCACTGCCATTGTTAGCTGCGCTCGCGCTGCCCACTGGCGCCCTTCCCAAGCCGCCACCGTTCCCACTGCTTCCTCCACCTCCTCCTGACTTCGAGAAGCGGCCAATGGTGCTCCTCCAACTAGCCAGTTCTTCCACCTTATGACCTGCAAGACGAAAAGCAGTTTTCAAGGAATCGAGCTCGAATACCCTAACTGTCGCGGCTATCTCGGGCTTAAGACACGCCATGCACAGCCCCACCAAGGTGTCCTCTGAGACTCCTTTACACTGGTTCCCCAACTTGAAGAACTCCGCACGGTATTCAGCCACCGTGCCGGTCTGCTTCAGCTTTGCCAACTGCTCAGGAGCCCACCCATCTGATTTCCCAAACTGATAGCGGAGCTCCTCCTGAAACATAGGCCAGGCGATCAAAGTGGCTGCGGCTGCATAGGATCTCTCCATCCACCATTGGAGCGCATCTCCCTCCAAATAGAACGATGCCAGATAAGCCTTCCTTTTCTCCGGAATTGGGTGATTTCCTCTCAACTGCATACAACCAAAGGCCTGCATCCTCTTGCCCATTGAATTTTGGAAACTCAATGGTAGGAGGCTTAGCTCGAAAAATTACTCCATCCATTCCTTCATAGTCCATATAGTGAGACCCATACCTGTCATTTCCTGGGGTCCTCCACGGCTGCCCAAACAGAGAGCTCTGAACCTGGCTTGGATTCCCATATCCATAGTCACCCGGGTAGCTGCCTTGCAGGTTTGGGTACCCTCCTAGGATGTGAGGTGCCCCGTACGGACCCTCCCAGCCGTCTGATTCCCTGCTGTCCACCCTTCTGGTTTGCTGAACAGTCGGACTCGACCGATGTCCAATTCGACCCACTTCCGGTCGACCCACTCCGGCCCGTCCGGGCCCGGTTTGGCTCACCTCGGTCTTGGATTCGCGAAATGTTCCCAATAATCCGAAATAGTAATAATCTGACAACTAAACATAATACTAAAATTACTAGGTTACTAAAATACGTATAAACCCCGTATAACACGTTTAATATCCGTATTTAATAAATTAAACTGTTTATGGTTATATCAAAAATTTTATTAAGAACAGGCATAAAACCTCTCAAACAAGTTGTACAACCATCAAGAAGAGCAACAAAAAAAAAACCCTATAATCTCAGCCCTATCACATCCAAAGTTTGGCCTAGTAGGTCTACACCCGCAGCTCTATACATCAGAATCTGCAGAACATCTTTACTGACATTATCGGGGGATTTCCTTGCTTTTGTACCATACAACCTAGAGCAACGCTCAAGCTAAATAAGGCTGATCACCAAGCTCCAAACTGCACGACCAACAACAGCAGAAGCCGATTTCCCTCGCCACCTTTGAACTCCCCAGGTCAACATATCATCTCATTCTAGCAAGGTTTGCGGGGGAGCAAGACTTCTCAAACATCGACGCAACACAGAGTGAATGAACACTCACTGAAAAAATGAGATCGGGATTCAACCCCACCTGGGCACAAAACACACATACCTGAAACAGGCAACCCCCAACAACTGAGCTTATCTTGAGTTATCATTCTGTCCAAAATAGCCAACCACAGAATAAACCCATGTGTAGGTACAATTTCTCTGCTCCACACCAACTGGTACCAATCAACTTCTAGATCATGAGGCCTTAACGACTCCCATACTCGCTTCACTGAAAATTTCTCCATGGGAATTCCATCCCATTGTAATGGATCTCCCTGCCCAGAAACATGTGGAAACATCCCTTTAGGATCTTCCGCCATAGCCACCAGCCCGTAGTTGCTGGCTTTAGAGTCCACACAAACGGTTGCTTCACCCTGTACATTAATATCCATGCAACCCAAAGTGATCCGATTAATGCCAGGATGTTCCATAAATGCCTAATTACACAGGCTTTGTTCCATATGCTAAAACTTCTTATGCCAAGTCCTCCCTCCTTAGGACGAGCTATTAAATGCCAGTCCACCTTCGACCTCTGGCCAGACTCGTTCACATCTCAGAGAAAAGTATTACAAATCTTCTCCACCTCCACAATGACATACTTGGGGAGCAAGAAAAGATTCATCCAGAACTGAACAAGGCTAGTGAGAACAGAGGAGATCAACTGACACGACATGCGAAGCTTAACAATCTGGCCCTCCACTTTGAACACGAGAAGTGATCTTGTCAATCAACACCCTACTATCCCTCCTTGTCAACTTCCTTGTTAGAAGAGGGACCCCGAGATACCTAACCGGCAAAGAATCAAGAGGGAAATTCGTATGATATGAAATCGCCCTCTTTTTAGCATCTGGAATTCCATCACAATATAACTGACACTTACTTGGATTCACCCTTAGCCCCGAAACCAAATAGAATTCATCCAGTAGACGAGGAATCCCAGCAACAGCCTTTATAGACCCATTTGAGAATACTAGGAGATCATCCGCAAAACATAAATGAGTAATCCCAAGAGCTTTACATCTAGGATGAAAGGGGATGAAATTATTTGCAACTGCTCACCTAATCAACGCATCAAAGATCACCATTGCTATAGTAAAAAGGTAAGGGGAAAAAGGATCCCCTGCCTTAACCCTTTTTTAACTAGCAACACTGACCATAGGAGTACTAACACAAGCCCTCAACAGTTCAAGAATTTTCCCAGTAAACCCCATAGCTTGTAAAGTGGAAAACAAAAAATCCCAGTTCAATGAGTCAAATGCTTTCATAATGTCCACCTTTAATGCACACCGAGAACTAACAGACACCTTATGATAGTCTCGTACTAATTCAGACGCCAAAAGAATATTATCACTAATTGCTCGACCTCTGATAAAAGCATATTGAGAAGTGCTTACCAGTTTAGGGAGAACCTCAGCAATCCTACAAGCCAGAATTCACGAAATGCCCTTATATATTGTATTACAACAGGCAATTGGTCTGAAATCTTTCATCACAACAGCATTCTGAACCTTGGCTACCATTGTGAAGATTGTTGCATTAACCTGCCGAGGCATGACCCCTGATTGAAAAAACTGCATAACAACTCTCTCCACATCAGCTTTGATTAGATCCCAATGCAACAGAAAGAATTATGCAGGGAAACCATCAGGCCCTGTAACCTTATCCCTACCAAGTCTCCGAAAAGAACTAGCAATTTCATCCCCTGTAATAGCCCTGTTAAGCTGCAACACGTCATTATCATCCAGCTTATGTCGAAGTAAAGCACTAAGCTCAGCCACAGACAAACCTTGTACACTTCCATCCACCTCACCAATCAACTTTTTATAGAAATTGACTGCTAAATCCCCCATCTGATGAATTTCTGAAGTCTCAGAACCATCATCCCTTTGGAGTTTTGTAATCTGCTGCTTGTGGGTTCGAACTCGCAAGGATTTATGAAAATATGAAGTATTCATGTCCCCCTCATGCACCCCCTGAGCCCTTGATTTCTGTCCATAGAACAACTCTTCCGCTTTCTGCATTGCTCAACATTCAGCAACTTTTTGAACCTCCAGTTTTGCTAAAGCAGCACTAGGGCTCTCTAACATTTCCACCTGCAAACTCTATAGCTGACACTCAAGACCCCTTGTTTGCTCTGAAATAGCTGCATAAACGTCCATGTTCAACACCTTAAGTTTCTTTTTTACTTCTTGAATTTTCCAATAGAAAACATAATGGGAGTAGCCATACACCTCTGTCGCCCAAGCATCATTTACCAACCCCATATAACTAGGATGAATTAAACTGTTAATTTTACTATTTTTTGTATATTTATTTTTATAAATAATTAATTATACATATTTATGACTATTAACATATTATTAAATGTAACTTTGGTTTAGAGATGAAGTAAAGTACCCGTACGTATTACACACGTGACTTTCCCTTACCATATTTTACTAACTATGCGAGGAATTATTCTACGATATCCACGGCCCAAACTGACAAAATAAGGGCAACTGGATACACCGATAGAGGGACACAAAATTGTAGACTTGGCTGGATCTCCTCCAGGTCCAAACGAATCTGAAGCTGCTAGCTTTTGTCAGCTACGATTTGGCCAGTCCTCGTGCAAAATCCGTATGAAGCGCGTGTCCCCCCTGCTTTTGTCATAAATATGTAGTAATTTCAGGATCTCAAACTTACCGTTCACCGAGAACACAGACGCATCAAGTGTCTAAGAGATACACACACAAACGTAGAAGAAACCATCAAAGAGCTTGCCTTGTAGGCAACTATGTGCGCCACGGGAAGACCTTGATTACCAGACCCTGCACAAAGGGATAGGTCGCCGATAAGATCCAACACCTTGTGGCGACAAGGTTCGTCAGGTAAACGCAGAGGTCCATTCAACCAACCTTCACTAGCACTGCAGCACAACGAGAAACAGTTTCAGGCCATTTAAACATTCTTCCATCTTTAGTGGCAAGAAGAAAACTGACCACTCTCACCTGCAAACAATGGCGTTTTCCAACGATCCTCCTTTTATTAGCCCTGCCTCCCGCATCTGCTCAACCTGCAAGGCTCCCACTGTTCAATCATGTGAAGTTTTCCGTCATACTTCCTCTATTCAGGTTTACTTAGCAGTTGATGCAGCCAAGCTAAAATGATTTAGTAAAGCTACCGTAAGGAACCTTTTAAATACACACACCGGCAATGGGTGAAGAAGAACTTAACAAACCTGCTCAAGCAGACAAAAAGTTCGCGATGAAGCTATTTGTTGGACATACACAGAATCATCGAGGAGAGGAAAAGAGACCCACTGACTGCCAATTTCTGAAACCTATCAACGTAGCGCAAAGAAGGGGATGTCAGTACTGTCAGGGAGTGCCATTTTTCTTCACATTGTTCAGGAAGAAAGCAAGAACCAATTTTTCCCCAGAGAATATCATTATGAAAGCTAGCACGAGGTGAGGTACCTGAGGGAAGTGGATCCCATAAGTGATGCGAAGCTCTGGAGAAGGGAAAGCAGCGATGAAGGCATCATCGACCCTGGCATGATATGGTTCATTCAAATGCGGAGCTAATCGTTCACAAGATCGACCACATTCATCTACTGCTACTCTCAACCCGACTTCTAGGATCAAATCAACCCACTGCCGGGATGAACCATCGAGTATCGGAATCTGCCTCCACAGAAGAAGCAAGCTCCAGAAATCACTAAATGCTACCATTTTCGACCAAATGAAAGAGCAATCAGAACAGTTTTTTTCTTTTTCAAATTGGAGAAACAATCACTGACCTCAACTTGGGAATCATCAGAGTCCAAACTGTGGATCTGAATCCTGCAGTTGTCGACGCCTGTGGCTTCGAGAGCCGAGAGCAAGTGCTCCACCGTCCGAACTTGAACCCCGTCCTTGGAAAGAGTGGTGCTGAGAGGAGAAGGGCGTAACGCGAAATCGATTGACGCGGGAATGGAGCAATTAGAATTGCAATCGAAATACCTCCCTTTCCTGGCGAACTCCGGCGATATCATTACCTTGGATGACTTGCCGGAGTGAAGGCCCAGGCCGGTGAGCTCCACGCATCCAGCTAGGGTTTGCTGAAGCCTGCCGGTCTATGTGCAGTCGATTAAACATAGTAGAACTGGGGAAAAAGAGATGGGCTGTGAGAGAGAAGGAAGGAAGGAGGGTAATTACCGGTTTCCAAGATATGAGAGCTGCAGATGACTTTAGTCCTCTGGTGAGTGCCATTGATCATCTTCAACACTTCACAGCCGAATTGCTTGGTTTGACAGAGTAAAGGACACAAATTTGGTGGGAAAGGGGAAGAAAATGAAAATGAACACTCAGAAGAGCTTCGGAGGGTTTCAGGCCCAGCAGTTCAAACTTCAAACCGTCCACCGGCCCAAACCCGTGCCGTGCCTTGTGTTTCATAAATAATACTAGCTTTTACCCGACCCATTGGTCGGATGATTTTTTATTATTATTTATGATAAGCAATTTATTTGAATTTTTAAATTATTTGGGGTTTTCTAGGTAGTTCGTGTATGGTTTGAAAGTAACTTTTATTATACTTGTTGTGTGTGACATTCATGGTAATTAGTTCATAGCCACTTTTCTTGATTTGAAACAGTGCAAGCATTATTTAAGAAAAAATATCCACTCATTGCCTTATCCGGTATCTTTAATATGATTTTACAATTCTTAATATAAACACATGTTAAATCAGAATTTCGTACATAGTAGTGGGACCTAAAAATTGCGAAGAACTGGAAAAGCTCCCAAGTCCCACCACATTTGATTGCAATTGTGATTCTGGACTTTTGCTACTCAAGAATTCCATTTCATATAAACTTTTCGTATCAAACCTATGAATTGATGCACTTTTGGGAAATGGAAATCAGTATAATTGAGAGAAACAATAGACAAACCATAAAGCCAAGAATCGTCTAAATCAAACAAAATATAAAAACCAATACAGTTTTCATAACTGAAGGATCAGATTCAATGAAGAACGGAATGGTGTTATTATAATGGAAGACCAGCACGAGAGGACTTAAGTCCGAACAACAACAACAATTCCCATGATAGATTTGATAATGGGGAGTAGGACTGAACATTATAATGCTCAGCTAATGCTAAGTCCTGCTATCTTACATCACAGAGAAAGAGCTCTAGTGTTCACCAACCGGTTCCTTACACCTCAGCACTAAACATAAATATAACAAATTCACTGGACATGGAGGCGCAAAAAAAAAAAAAACTATCGGTCTATAAAATGACCAGATAACTGTTACAATGATCAACCCACCATTGCTCCCTAGCTTGCAGTCTAGCAAGGGGGTGCAGATGTACCGCCAGGTTATGTCAGCTCATGACGAACTCTCTAGTTAGCTTGTGGTAGTTTGACTTGAGGGTGTCCCATGCCAATTGCACTCCATGATAGTATCTCATCGATGGGGGTACCGGAATATCACATACAGCTGATAATTTCACAACAGTTACAACATTAAAGTAAGTCAGGTTGGATTAAAAGATGCTTACACCTATCATCACCAAGCCTAATCACGAAACATTGATTCAATTCGTAGGTGAAGAATATATTCTATAGACCAATTAGCTAAAAGAGCAAACGTCAACCCAAATGTCGTTGATGAGACCTTAAATTAAAGCAACCAACCATAAAGAAATAGGCCAATTTTAGGAGGATAAAAAGGCAAACAGGAATCACCTCATGAAATAGATGTCAAGGTCTCCGCCACCGGTAGCCGCTCTTTCACCAATTTCAAGTGACTAAGTGTTCAAGAATAACGTAAATATACGTTCGGTCAAAACCATCGTTCCATAAACTTGTTGGACCATGTCTATTTTTGGTTCTTGTTTCCATCCTAATCTTTGTTTACATCTCTTTGTTTACAACTTTGAATTGGAAGTGGAAACTCAATTCCTCAATTCTACCGTTCATTGAATGATAAAAATTTATACAAGCCCTTGGTTGTTATTTATGATAACTCAAGCCTAAAACTTGACACAATATACACAAAATTTAGGTAGAAAACACCAAGGTCCTACACTTCAGTCTATATGAATGACGTACACATGACATTGACAAAAGCAAGCAAAGCCAATGAAGTCCATTAAACCACTATCAAAGAAAACGAAGTCCAAAAATCAAAGAATTCTTCTCAGCTAAATCATAACATCATTATTAATCACCCATATATCCATTTGTCATTGAAATTGAAAAAGAACACCTAACCCAATTAACTTCAAAACAATCACCAAGTCTATTTCTCCGGTGATTCACTTTGCCGCACTATCCTTTCCCTGGGTTTGTGATTCCTATAGCCTAACCTATACGATTACTTATGTTGGTAGGACACGATAGGGCACCAACATTTGAAATTGATATAGAACATTAGAAAAAGAGGATGTGTATAGACAACAAATGCAAAAGGAATAAATAATACTTGCAGAGATGAAGCAGATGGGTAAGGAACCAACTAAAATGCTTAAGAATGTTGAATCTGAATGAGTAAACAAAGTCGATAATGCAACAACTAACCCCCAAACAAAAACTTGAAGGAGAAAGCAAACTGGTTCCATGAACCCATTGTCGTTTTCAAAGCATTCTAACATACTATCCTACAGACGAAATCGACAAAGACATAGAACGGAATTGAATGGAATTTTTTAAAAGAAACAAAATAGATTAGACATCACATATTGAAGGCTATAAAATATAAGCTGGCAAAAACTGATCAAGCAGTATTGCTGCCTCCATGAGATAGGGATGATGCAAACCAGTCAAAAAATCCCAAAGGAGGAATTAAAAAGGAGGGAAGGGGAGGGAAATTAGGGAACATACCACCAAAGACCGAGAGGAAAGAAAGATCATTGGTCACTTTCTGGATTTCACACTGGATACATGGTCTTTCGAACTCCTCGATCCTACTTAGAAGTCTGGTCCAAGGAAAAGAAGATAGAGTTTTTGGTTGATGATAAAAGAGTAACATGGACAATGAAGCTTAAGTTTGGTGTTCAAGAACTTGGAATAGTAATGATATGGTATAAGACAATAGAAACATACATCCAAACCTGGCAGATCTCACTTGATCATCCACACCCCTCTTATGTCCCAATGTATCAAATCTATGACCAAGGAAATGTAAAAATTAAAAATATGAACTTAGAATAATCAACAAATGGGTTGACTGAACAGAGCTCAAAATTTCACAAAATAGCAAACAAACAAAAGAGATAAATAATAAGAGTTGAAATCCCATGATATACCTCATTACTTTCAGAGGATGAGTTCTCCGGCAATATTTTCATCTAATCCTGGCATCTACTTCAATTGATATGTTCTACAATTTCCTTTTTTTGCGCTCTGGAAGGAGAATAAGACGACGACGTAAGATGGTCGGACAAAGTAAACAGAAAAAGGGATGGAAGATAATTTTTCCCAGCAATGGAAGAGGGAAATCAGATTTGTAGAAGATTGGAAGACGAATCGAAAGTGATTCAAGGTTATAGGAGGTAACTGAAGCCTGAAGTGGAAGCCAAAGAATGAAGGGGTTCAGGTGGTATGAGTCGTTGAAGGGAAGGCGAATACAAATGCAGCTTACAAACCACTCACCATAATCGAAAAACACAACCACAACTCCCAAGTGCAAATCCACCTTGCAAAAGCTACCAATGAAAGCTTCCATAGAAGAACTCTGAATCAGGCAAATAGGTTCACGTGAGAAAGTGAAACCCAAACATTCTTGAACTAAAGAAAGGTAATTTGCGGTTTCCTAACCTCGAACCAATGACTGCCGTAAACATCAACAACCAAAGGCATGTCGAATGTCTGGACATGAATATGTCTCCACATCAACTACGAAGTTCAAAAATGAAAAGCAGCTCAAAGCCACAGAAAGAATTGTCTACAGCAATCTCCAATCAAAGCTGGGGAAAACACTGAAAATTGTGAATGCGCCACAAAGACAACTGGAAATGAATTACCTCAAATTATGCATCAATCACTGTCGTGGAGACCTACAACCATGAAAACCGAGCTGCCCTATTTCATTCATTTAGTTCCCTTCTACTCACCGCCATGGAAACCTGATCTCACAAAAGTAAAATCAAAACAAAAATACGAAGGTATATCTGAAGAAATCTGTTACCCAGCAACTCCCTCGATGACTTACACGCCACCATCTTTGATTCACAAATATGAGTCATAGTCGTATCAACCATAGCAGCCCAGGGTATTCTTCTATTTTACACAGAAATTCGTCGGTCTGAGTCTTTGAGCAGCGAGGCTTTCTTTTTGGAATGGCGGAGAAAACATAATGGAAATTGGCAGGGAAAGAGGAAAACCGCCGGCGAATAAGCGAAGCAGTGGAGAAGAGGAGATACTGGAAATTAATTTGGGCGACACTTGTATATTGCAGTCATGTCATCTGTAGGGAGAAAGGGATCGAGTGATTGAATTTGTGGTTGGTGCGAGGACAACGAATGGGTTTCAGAGAGGAAGGGGAATAGCTAGTAGTGTTTGTTGGGAGGCGCACAAAAGAAACCAGCACAACAAAATAGCGTTTACAGAAAGCAGAGAGGGAAACCGCCGGCTGTAATCTCAGCCACGTCAGCACACCGAAAAACACTCTAGAGGCAGGATTTTTTGAATGGAGGTGGCAGTTTTAAGTTTCCACTATAAATGATACTGTTGACTAGTTATCTGCCGCGCTATGCGCCGGGAGGCGTAAAATTTAAGACAGTATTCGAAATGTTCTATTCTAAATGTTGAATTTTAAGTTCACATGTACTAAAAATGTAAATAGATAATGCAAGTATTAAGAATGTAAGATGAATTCTTATTATATAGAAAATGATGTATACTCTTTTTTTTTAATTGATGTATACTCTTATCATAAACTCTACTAAATCAAAATATATAATACACATAGAACAAAAAAAAAGAGTATGCATACTCCAGCAAAGCAGTATATACATACATACTTGTACATTCCAATTAAACTTAGAAAGAGTACAACCCTGCTCGCCTTCGAAAGCAATAAAAGAGGTGCAAACACTGTATTCCTATCTTAATTTGCAGACTCGCTATCAGAACTCCACACATACAATATCTAAAGAACCAATTATCAACCCTCGTTACATTCAATTTTATAAATCTCCTATACACAGTGGATATTAAAAAAGGGTCATGATTTTCATAGCCTTCTGTTCCCTACTAGTCTTCCTCTGATATCCAGTGACCATTAGAACACCATCCTGATTTCTAATAGTTTGCTTGAGAGTTTTATGCAATTGTGACATCCAAGCCTTTTGATGCTCTAACAAAGCTCTTCTACAATTCGACAGTCTGGATCAATTTTCTCACATTCCCCTCACTTCTAAATTAACAAAAAAAAACATAGTAGACCTTCAAAAGAAATCAGCCAAACACATGGTAAAAAAATGCACAGAAAGTCAAGGTCATAAGTGATGAGAATCAAGCAACCACATTAGTCTAATCAAACCATAGAATTAAGTTTTCTGATAATCTTTCTAATCTATATGCCTACTTCAAATCAGACTCTGGAGTGGCCAAACAAAATTTGAGGAAATGAAATACTAATATGGGAATTCGAGGCAAGAAACGAAAAAAATCCCATTTGAGGAAGCAAGCACTCATGTGTGACATGTCAAGTTAAAAATCAAGACCGAGGAAGACTTACCCTCATGTTGAAGAAAGTCCTTTGCTCGTCATCAAGGGGTGGACATGTTGCAACTCGCGCAAGAACCTGCTTAAAAACGAAAGCATTCTGTAAGTGTAGGGGGTAGATCTTTTGTCATGTTCTAGCTTGTAATCTGACAAAGGCTAGATCTTTTGTAGCTTAACATCGTTTGAAGGATGAGTCACGAACACAAAATGTTGAAACGGAACAATAAAAAATAATTTATGAACTGAAAAATACATAAACTAAACAATTAAATGGAGACTGAGGTACAAACTTGAATACCCGGAAGCATCCACGGAGAAATCGGAGAATAGGAGCACTGAAAGTCACAATCACCAACTTGTGTGAACCTCACTCGAATGGACACATGTACAGAAACTCCACATGAAAAATAGACAAACAGAGAAAGAGTCAGTATAGCACCTCGCGAACCCAAGACATGACCTAGAAATCAAACTCTTCTTAAAAAACTTGATAATCCTCTCAAATCAGGGAGCCTGAAGCAAAAAAAAAAAAAGGAGCAAGAGTTTTCTATTTTGATTGCAATAGACTCATCCTCCAAGAAATTCGATTAGCAGGTCACTCCTTCTTGCCCATCCAATTGCAGCTGCTGACCACGCAGAGAAAGAGGGAGAAAAAGGGGGGAATAAACCACAGTTCAAGGGATTGGAAAAATAAGCCAACCATAAAATACCAGCCACGGAGAGATGGATTCTCCTCACAATCACAGAAACATCCCATTGCGATTCTCATCACCGCTAAATAATAGTTCCAGCCGCCCACCAATCGATCATGAGCAGTTTCAGCTACCAAACTCCACACCGCTTAGCTCCTTCAAACACACGGGGGGGGGGGGGGGACGAACTCATAAAAGGCAAAACAAACTCATTTCTAAGAGTGGGAAAGAGAAAAATGACAATCACGCTAAATAAGAAAGAGAGAACAAAGCTAAACGCACCATAGAACTCGCCAATTTCGCTGCTCCGACCTCTCCTAACATCCCAAATCTACAATGTGAGCAACAACGATTTGGGTCACCACAGATAATAATAATAAAAAATAAAGGAGTGAAAGCAAAACAGAAGTTAAGAGATCGAAAGCTCACCGATCGATCCCATTATTTCGTCGACCTCCCACTGATTCCCTCTGTGGATGTTAAATGAATAAAAATATATATGGTAGTAAGCCGGAGAGGAATATGTCCAAGTGAAATGGGCAGGGCGATTAAGAACGACTTACTAAAGGTAGATGAATATAGTCGCAAAAGCGGATGCAGGGTACTGGCGTGCCAAGACCTCGATATGAGACTTGATGCCCCTGATCTATGTTGTGGTTCGACACTGGATGTACCAGTGCACAGATCTGAGAAAAGGAGGGAAAAGCATTAGAAACTTGCTGCAAAACCGAAAATAAATAATCAAGATGACTTGTTCGTGCATATCAAAATAGATAATGAAAGACAATAAGATAAGGCAAACCTGATATTGAGAGATCTGAAGCAGTACCATAGACGAAGAGGAAAAATACTTTGCAGCTCCAAATCTCATCTCTATAACAAATGGATTCTCGCAACAACCATAGCCGGCGGAGGTAATCGAAGGTTCACAGGTGCATGGTCGAAATGGCGGACGTGCAAGAGGAGAGCGACGATGTGGTGGAGCCTCTGATGTTGTTGCAGGCAACCATCTCCTCTCCGACGATCCCATTCCAATAACCTTCTTCCCATCGCATATCCTTCTACAGAGACCTCAGCTGCTTTAGTTTTACGCATCTGAGCCGATTGAACCACCACAAATGAAATTGAATTTCTATGAGCGATTTTAGTGGGAGAGTAGGTAAACAAAGGCAGTCAATTTTAGTGAGAGAAAGAGTAAAGAGAAAGAGAAGCTGGTTACTGGTAAAAAAGTAGAGAGGAAGATATTCGGCCTAAACCTATGAGATTTGGAGCAGGGACTCTCCCTCTCTCATATATATCCTGTAATAAAGAAGCAAAAGTAGAGAGGAAGATATTTAGCCTAAAACGATGAGATTTGGAGCAGGGACTCTCTGTCTCTCATATCCTCTAATAAGGAAGCAGAAAATCCCTCCTCGCCTAAAACGACGAAAAATATTCGACCTCTATTTTAGAGAGAGTCACCCATTTGAGGCCGACGCGCTTTCCATGGCAGAGAAAAGAAGAATAGAGAGAGGGTGGATTGCAGACTTACAGCTGCGAAATGTTGGCAAGTAGGGGTGGCTATTTGGACCGGGACCGGATTAAAAACCGCAAACCGGACCGTATAACCCGGACCGAGACCGGATAGTAAACAATCCAATCCAATATTTGGGCTTAGATTTGAGGTAAAAAACCGGATAAAGACCGGATAAGAGAGCTCAACACCCAAAACTTAAGGGTAATTTGCATAAACGGTCACAAACCTTTGCACTTAGTACAAAACTTAACCAACTCCTCACCCTTTAAGGCCTTAGGCCACTCAAATCCCACAATCTCAATGTAAAATCAAGACCGAATTAGGACCGGACCGGATCAAAACCGGACCGGATCAAGACCGGACTGTATCCAATCCAATCTTCGGTCCTTATATTTTCAAAAAGACCGGACTGGACCGGATCAATTTGGGCCAATTTAACCGGACCGGACCGTATAGCCACCCCAAATGGCAAGACAGGCTGGCGCGCTTCTGTGACAGAGAGAGGGCGGGTTGCAGCTGCAAAGTGACGGCAAGGAAGGCCGAATGGAAAGTGAACAAACCCATTTCTAATAGTGGGAAAGAGAAAAATGACAATCACGCTAAATAAGAAAGAGAGAACAAAGCTAAACGCACTATAGAACTCGCCAATTTCGCTGCTCCGACCTCTCCTAACATCCCAAACCTACATCGTGAGCAACAACGATTTGGGTCACCACAGATAATAATAATAAATAATAAAGGAGTGAAAGCGAAACAGAAGTAAAGAGATCAAAAGCTAACCGATCGATCCCATTATTTCGTCGACCTCCTGCAGATTCCCTTTGTGGATGTTAAATGAATAAAAATATATATGGTAGTAAGCCGGAGAGGAATATGACCAAGTGAAATGGGCAGGGCGATGAAGAACGACTTACTAAAGGTAGATGAATATAGTCGCAAAAGCAGATGCAGGGTACTGGCGTGCCAAGCCTTCGATATGAGACTTGATGCCCCCGATCTATGTTGTGGTTCGACACTGGATGTACCAGTGCACAGATATGAGAAAAGGAGGGAAAAGCATTAGAAACTTGCAGCAAAATCGAAAATAAATAATCAAGATGACTTGTTCGTGCATATCAAAATAGATAATGAAAGACAATAAGATAAGGCAAACTTGAGATTGAGAGATCTGAAGCAGTATATAGACGAAGAGGAAAAATACTCTGTAGCTCCAAATCTCATCTCTATCAACAAAGGGATTCTCGCAACAACCATAGTCGGCGGACGTAATCGAAGGTTCTCGGGTGCATGGTCGAAATGGCTGACCTGCAAGATGAGAGTGACGATGTGGTGGAGCCTCTGATGTTGTTGCAGGAAACCATCTCCTCTCCGACGATCCCATTCCAATAACCTTCTTCCCATCGCATATCCTCCTACAGAGACCTCAGCTGCTTTAGTTTCACGCATCTGAGCCAATTGAACCACCACAAAAGAAATTGAATTTCTATGAGTGATTTTAGTGGGAGAGAAGGGAAAGAAAGGCAGTCAATTTTAGTGAGAGAAAGAGTAAAGAGAAAGAGAGGCTGGTTAATGGTAAAAAAGTAGAGAGGAAGATATTCAGCCTAAACCAATGAGATTTGGAGCAGGGACTCTCCCTCACTCATATATATCATGTAATAAAGAAGCAAAAGTAGAGAGGAAGATATTTAGCCTAAAACGATGAGATTTGGAGCAGGGACTCTCTGTCTCTCATATCCTCTAATAAAGAAGCAGAAAATCCCTTCCTCGCCTAAAACGATGCAAAATATTCGGCCTCTATTTTGAAGAGAGTCCCCCATTTGAGGCCGACGCGCTTTCCATGGAAGAGAAAAGAAGAATAGAGAGAGGGTGGATTGCATATTTGCAGCTGCGAAATGATGGCAAGGCAGGGTGGCGCGCTTTCTATGAGAGAGAGAGAGGGCGGGTTGCAGCTGCAAAGTGATGGCAAGGAAGGCCGAGCGAAACCAACCAACCAATCAGAACAAAATGAATAGTCATTTTAGTCTAGGTGAACAGTAAAAAGTGTCTAGGTGAACAGGGATTGGGGATTAGTGAAAATAACTCTTCTTAATATCAGCAGCAAATACCGATTCATCTTTGAGCTTTGACCATCTGCACGTTATCCTACCTTTATTATAATCTTCCTAATTTTTAAAATTAAAAGTTACCTAATCATCCTTCATAAGATTTAAAGAAAATAATACCCTTAGTTTATTATCTTCTCACTTCTCTGGACATCAAAATCGATGATCCTCTTCATACCAATGAAACTAACAATGGTGTATATATCCTCATCATCATTATTAGTCCATAATATATTCACAGTGTGTCACATGTAAATCCCCACAACCTCTCTTCTCTCTCTCCCCTTTCTCTATTCTCTGAGCGCTCGCAAATTTGGATCGATGGCCGCCGTCGCCGACGCAGCCTTCCAGGGCGCCGTCAGTGGCGGCAGGTCCTGGGCTTCTCTGTTTCACGTTGCTGAAGAGAATCGATTAGAGTATTACGAGCCAGAATTCATCAATGGATCTCTACGAATCCCTAAGTCGGTGATTGAGGAAGGAGCGAAGCATTGGGATAACAGTTTGGTTGGGCAATTTCTGGTTGATCCTCTTTCAATCTCGGCGCTCCGCTTTTGGGCTAACTGGATTTGGGGCAAGGAAGGTGAAGTGAAGGTCTCTATGCTGGAGGACAGGCTTGTGCTCTTTCAATTTCCTTCAGAATCGACCTGACGATGGGTATTCGAAGGCGGCCCATGGCACTATAAGGAGAAGATCATCTGCTTAAGGCGTTGGGTTCCGGGAATCAGAGCATTGGAGATTAATAACTCGGCCATACCAGTGTGGGTCAATCTAACAGGTATTCCTGCTGAGCTAGCTTTACGAGAGGTTCGAGGGAGAATCACGAGTTCTATTGGTAAACCTATGTGTATGGATCATTGAATATCCCATAGGAGGAAGATAGGTGCAGTGAAGGTGTGTGTTGAGGTAAGTGCTAAGAAGCCTTTGGTGAACAGGATCAGTATTACCCCTGATGATATGGAAGAGATGTATATTGGGGTAGAGTATTGTGGTTTGCCTCGTTGTTGCTCGGCTTGTGGTGTCTTTGGTCATGATTGTTCGATGCCTCCTCTGGGAGCCTTAACCAAGAGAGTTTGGAGACCGAAGAAGCTGCAGGTTACACCAATACAAGAGGGTAATGAGGTTTCTAATCAGACAGTTGGGGAGAAGGAGCCAGTGATGAATGGGACGATTGTTGAGAATGCTGGAGAGGGAGTGTCCGAGAAGGATAAGGAAGTAATAGTTGATTCCACTCCTCCAGTCACACCGAGTGCTCTTCCTTCATAGGAGGAGTTTAACAAAGTCATAAATGGAGCAAAATCAAGGTCTATTCCCAGGAAGTCTGTACCTGTCTTGCACTCTAATGCATTTGAACTGCTTTGTGGGAGAGACATCAAATTACAGGCTCCTCAGAAGAAACCAGGGGGGGCGTGAGGGGCTTAGGAGTAAGGGAGCCACTAAGGTGGCTACTACTCATAGATGACAACCCTCATATGGAATACAAGGGGCTTTAACAGTCCCCTGAAACACACTGCTATGCTTAGATACATTAGAATACATAAGGTTTCACTTTTTGCTCTTCTTGAAACCAGAGTACAAAAACAGGACAGTATAGATACAATAAGGGAGAAATTTGTAGGGTTCCAATTCACAGATAACTACTCAAAAAGAAGGTTAGGGAGGATATGGATTGGATGGAGTGATGATGTGAAGGTACTAAGTGCTGAAGGAAGAGGAAAATTTCATTCACTGCCTAGTTGCAGGGTCTTTACTGCAGTATATGGTTCAAATGAAGAGAAGGACAGATTGTTGACTTATAAAGCTATGAGCCAGTGGAAGGTAAAAGGGTTTCCCTGGATGATTGGTGGGGACTTTAATGCTATTCTTTGCCCTGCTGAAGCATCAAATTCAGTCTCTATCAACACAAGTATGACAGATTTTAGAGAGTGGATTGATTAGATGGAAGTAGTTGATCATAAGGCAACAGGGCCTGTCTTCACCTGGGCTAATCATCAACAACTCAACCCCATTGCCAGAAAGCTTGACATACTAATGGTGAATGAGGACTGGTTTGAACACTTCTCAGACTGTGTGGTGGAGTTCATCTCCCCTGATTTTTCTGACCACTGTGGGATAATGATCACACCCCATGTCCCAACCAAGAGCTTCCCCAAGCCCTTTCGGTTTATGACATGTGGCTTGATCATCCTTCTTTCTCGGATATTCTGCATAACTGTTGGCAAGTTCCATCTCATTCAGGTCTATTTGGTGTTAGGAAGAAGTTGGTTTCTCTCAAGGCTGAGTTGAGGAAGCTAAATAAAGAGAAATACTCAGACATATCTAAAAGAGTCAAGGAAAAAGAGGGAGATCTCAAGACTAAGCAAATGCAAGCCCTTGAGCATCCTACAGAGGCCCTATTTGAAGAAGTTAATACTATCAGAAAGGAATATCTCCTATTAGCCTCAGCTGAAGAGGTGTTTTACAAGCAAAAATCTCGTATCAGCTGGCTGGGGTTGGGGGACTCTAATTCTTCTCATTTCCACTCTCCTGTTAAAATCCGAACTGCTAAGAAGCAAATAAGGAAACTTATTGCATCCAGTGGGGAGGAAATAACAGAAGTCCAAGATATTGCAGATGAAGCTGTTAGTTTTTATAAAAAACTGTTTGGGGTGGTCAACTCAGATGTGAAGGTGGATGACAACTTTCTGGAAGGCTGTATAAGAAACAAGTTGTCTACTGAAAACCAAAAGCTTTTATGTGACAAAGTCACCACTTAGGAAGTTAAATCAGCCCTGTTTGAAATGAATCCATCCAAAGCTCCTGGGCCAGATGGATGGAACACTACTTTCTTTCAACGTTGTTGGGGTGTGGTGGGGCCATAAATCACTCAAGGGATTCAGTACTTCTTTGCTTTAGGGCAGCTTCCAAGAGGTATGAACTCTGCATCTCTAACACTTATCCCTAAGACACTTAATGCAGATAATCTCTCTGCCTATCGACCTATAGCCTGCATTAATGTTCTTTACAAAATAATCTCTAAAGTGATTGCCAACAGACTTAAAAAAGTATTGCCTTCTATAATTAGTAGGAATCAGTCTGCCTTTATCCAGGGGAGAAGCATTATTGAAAACATTCTCATGGCCCAGGAAGTAGTACAGAATTACAATAGAAAACATATATCATCTAGAGGGGCTGTGAAGGTTGACCTTAAAAAGGCTTTCGATTCAGTAAGCTGGGAGTTTTTGCTGTGTGTGATGATGAAGATGGGATTTCCTTCAGTGTTTTGTCAGTGGATTAAGACTTGTCTTTCATCAGCCTATTTTAGCATTACTATTCATGGGAGTCTCTTTGGTTTCTTTCAAGCTGCAAAAGGGGTGAGACAGGGGGATCCTATCTCCCCCTATCTCTTCACCATTGCCATGGAACCACTCTCGAGTATGTTGGATAGGG